TCCCAAGGACAAAGAGCCCACGGAGCTGGTACTGAGGGATACAGGAATATCTAGGAGGACAAAATTGAAAGGGAAAAAAACTGTACTTGAAGCTAAACAGCTTCAAGTGTCTCTGGGTAACACTGCAGGGCTCCTCCCTGCCCAGTCCCAGTCCTTCCCTGAAATCCTGCCCTGTCCCAGCCTCCTGTCCTGTCCCAGCCTCCTGTCCTGTCCCCTTTGTGCTGCAGGGACCAGGACACAGCTGAGCTCCCTCCTCACACCAAGAACTCCTCCTGCTCTGAAATCCTGCCCTGTCCCAGCCTCCTGCCCTGTCCCAGCCTCCTGCCACATCCCCTCCATGCTGCAGGGACCAGGACACAGCTGAGCTCCCCCTCACACCAAGAACTCCTGTTCCTCTGAAATCCTCTCCTGTCCCAGCCTCCTGCCACATCCCCTCCGTGCTGCAGCCCCCAGGACACAGCTGAGCTCCCTCCTCACACCAAGAACTGCTCCTCCTCCTCCCCAGCGCCCTGCTCCATCTCCCCAGGAGCACAGGAACCCCCGGGCGTGGCAGCTCCTACCTTTGAGGGAATTCAGCGAGAACATCTCCATCCCGGCGGGAAGGGAGGGCGCTCCTGGGACAGCAGCGGGGAGACAAAGAAACTCGGGTTAGAATGGCCATTTCCTTTCAAATGCTTCTGCTTTGGCTCTGGGGTGAAAATGAGGGGGTTTAAAAGCCTTTTAGGCCAGGATGAAGTAGATTATGGCCATTATTCTCTTTAAAGGGAAAAAAAAACAGGAGAAGAAAGAGAACTGTACTTCTGATAATGTTCTTTACTAAACCTGTGTTAAATTTCCTATTTATAACTTTCATTCAAATAAAACCAGCTTTGTTTTGGGGTGTTTTATCTGTCATGCCAAGCATTAAATACACCGTAGGGATTCTTGGAAACAGTAACAAGGATTTTCTATAAACTCAGATCAGATGGGTGAGGACTGAAGGTCAGCATTTACACACAAAGTTGGTTTGGAGCTGCACTTCCACAATCCTGGTGGATCCCTTCCAAGCCAGGATATTCTGGGATCCTGTGGACATGAACTGTCCCCATCACTGACTTCCTGTGCATGCAATTAATAGCCTGCAATTATCCTTCCAATTATTCACTTTTGCTTTCAATAAGACAAAATTACTTCAAAACCCACCCCATTTTCTGGCCACATCTCTGGATGTGACACCTTGTCCATGGTTCCTTCCCCATGGACACACGGACACCAACCTGCCCTGGCTGCCAGGCCCACACCTGGACTTTTCCAAGGATGAAATCAATAAAAACAGGGTAAATTGACTTGGCAAAAGTGAAACTCCACGTGTGCTGTGGTGAATCCTGGAGGGTAGTGTTCCTGCAGGGAACAAAGTCAGGGAGCTCTCCTTGTTCCTGGGGGCAGATGCCCAAGGCTGGAGCTTGGCACAGGGCAGCCTGTGCCCCCTTCCATGGGCACCATCCCAGCCTGGCTCAAACTGCCCCAAGCCAAGGGGATTTGGGATGAGTGGGTGAGCCCAGCATTGCTCCAAGAGGAAAGAGCCAATCCCTGAATGCTCCTGAGGCGCTGCAATGCCTGGATCCTGCAATGCCCCAGGCCAGGCTGGACACTGGCACAGTGGCAGGTGTCCCTGCCACGGCAGGGGTGGCACTGGATGATCCTTACGCTCCCTTCCAACCCAAATGGGCAAACACAACATAAAGTTGATGGAAATGGTCTTTTCTGCTCAAGAACAAAGAAATAAAAAATGGAGGACCGTCTGGGGATGAGGTTCCAAGAGGAACAGCTGAGATGCCCTTGGATAAGGAAGATTCCAGCCCAGCTGTTGGTGTGATCCTGTCCGCAGAGCCCAGCGGGGCTGGGAGCCTCACTGGAACCAGTCAGAGCCAGACTGGGGGAACGGGGCACGGCAGGGAGGAGAATAAAGGATCTGCTGAGCCTGGCACCAGGATCCCGACCTGGGAATCACTTGTAGCACATCCAGCAGCCTGGGGGACATCCCAGGGTTTGCTCCTGCAGATCCTGGTCCCAAATGAGGAGAAGTGTCCAACTGTGACAGCTGCTGCAGCCCCCAGGGAAGCACAGGGATGCAGGACCACCAGGGAGAGGAGCACCGGAACACTCAAAATGTATTTTGTCTGATGACAGGAGAGATGTGGGGGCTCTGAGGACACCGCATTTGGGATGAAATGGCCCAGGATGACACAGGACAGGCAGTGGCACAGCTGGGATGAGAATCCACGGCAGCCTGGAGCCTCACACCCAGCAAACTCCAGAGACCCAGGTGGCACAAGAGACACCAAAAGTTTGTTAGGAACAGACTCAGGCAAAGAGTGGAACCAGGCACTGCAGAAACTGTCAGATCAGATCCCCAAGGATGGGAAGGAACTGGGCCTTTGTGGGGACTCCTCCATCCACTGGAAAACACGAGGGAAAACCCCATCCCCGGGAGAGACACAGGGAAATCCCAGCAGCTGTGATCCCTGGCTGCTGGGGTGCTCCAGCGGTGTGGGAAGGGCAGAGCCCCGGCTGCTTTGTGAGGAGAACAAAGGACAGAGAGAGAAATCCCGCTGCCTGCACAGCCCAGGATCCCTGCCCGGCTCGGGCACAGCCAGCACGCCCCTGCAGCAGATTCGGTTTTATTTTGGACATTTGTGCCAAGGGCAGCGGATGGTGCAGGAACCCCCGGCTGGGGCAGCCCCGCGGGCTCTCAGCGGTGCAGGGCACAGGGAGGGAAGGGCTGCAGGTGGCACCGGGCTCCGGACAGCCCCGGGGCCACACGGGCACCGGCAGCCACAGTTCCCGCGGCCGCGGGGCAGAACGGGCCCGGCGGCGGCAGCGGGGCGAGCCACGGGCGGGCACGGAGGGGCAGAGGCGGCGGGAGAGCGGCTCCGTGCGGGCGGAGCGGAGCCTGCCCGGGCAGCGACGGAGCTCCGGGGATGCCGCGCTCCCGGCGCCGCCTCCCGGGCTCTCCCCGCCGGCCTCTCGCCCAGGGCCCGCGGGGAGCGGTGCCCCGAGCCCCTCCGAGCACCCCGAGGCCTCCCGAGCATCCCCGGCCCCGGCGGTGCCGCCGAGCATCCCCGGTGCCGCCGAGCATCCCCGCCCGCGCCGCCCCGCCCGCACAGGCCGCGGCCCCGCACGGCCCTCCCCGCCTCGCCCCGCGCTGCTCGCCGCCATCCCCCGCTCCTGCCCCTCCTCCCGCCGCCGTCCCGCCCCCGCGGCCCCCCCGGTTCGCCCCAGAAGTCGCGGTCCGACCCCCGCCCGCCCGGCACCGACCTCCGCACCGCGACTGCCGCCGCCGGGCCGCCCCTCGGGACTACACCTCCCGGCAGCCCCCGCGTGCGCTTCCGGCGCGGCGCGCGCTTCACTTCCGGCCCTTCCCCGGAAGTGAGACGGCCCGCGCGTTCCCTCCGGCCAGCGGCGCCACAGAGCGAAGCCTGGCGTGGGCGGGGGGCGGGGCCTATCCCCATGGCAACGGCAGAACCAATGGGCAGCGATGGCTGTTCCCATGGCAACGGCAGAGCCAATAGGGGGCGCGGCCTGTGGGGGCGCTGTAGCCTCGGCCCCGCCGTGGGACCCGTTCGGGTTCCGGCCCTGATCCTTATCCAAGCCCTGATCCCGATCCCGATCCTGGTCCCGGTGTCGATCCTGGAATGGGACCGGCCAGGCCCGACCCCGATCCCGACCGGGGAGCTGCCCAGAGCAGCTGTGGCTACCCCTGGATCCCTGGGAGTGCCCCAGGCCAGGCTGGACGTTGTTGCTGGGAGCACCCCGGGGCAGTGGGCGGTGTCCCTGCCGTGGCAAGGGTGGAATGGGATGAGATTTTATGGCTCTCCCAACCCGAACCCTTCTGGAATTCTTGGCCGGACTCACTCTGCTGCCGTTTCAGAGTGGCAGCTATGAAATTCTGGAGTTCAGATTTCTGTATGTTTGGTGGGTTTGTTATTCCCTGTATCTCCAGCGGTTTCCTTTCCTGCAGGTGTTTATAGTGTTCAGGGACAAGGGAACATTTACAAACTACAGTAATACAAGGGACGGTTTTATACTGGGCATTGTGATTTTAATGACAGACTTTTGACACTGTATTTGATAATGTTTGAACTAAAATATGTTGTATTTTTTAATTATATACACGGTTTTGCTTTTAAAAAAATCTCTGTTATGTTCAATTCACAAATAAAACATTAGCAGAGACTCAAATCTAAGTGTTTTCTATGAAGGAAATTTGGGGGAAATTGCTTCCTAATGACCCATTCCGTGGGTCTAGATGTGATTATGAAAAGGTAAAGGATGTGACTGTGGAAAGGTCCTCACCCAGCACTGAGAACTCGGTGCAGACACCTGCAGGTAATTATGGCAGCACCCAATTTATTCCCTAATTGCACTGGGCCTGAGTGGCGGGGTCGGAACAGACCGGACCGGTACCGAGAGCACGGACGGTGTGGTTGGAGCAATCCCGGCCGGTACCGAGAGCACGGACGGCGCGTTCGGGACCCGGAGCGATCCCGGGTGGTACCGAGAGCACGGACGGTGTGGTTGGAGCGGTCCCTGGCGGTACCGAAGGCACCGACGGCGTGTTCAGAACAGTCCCGGGCGGTACCGAGGGCACGGACGGTGTGTTCGGGGTCCGGAGCAATCTCGGGCGGTATCGAGGGCACAGACGGTGTGTTCGGGACCCGGAGCGCTCCCTTGCCGGTACCGAGGGCACAGACGGTGTGTTCAGGACCCGGAGCTCCCGGAGTCCCTCAGCGGGAGCGCCTCGGGCGGGGACGCCCCGGGGCAGAGGTGGGGCTTCACATGAGCGGCGTGCGCGTTCCCGCGCGTGTACCCGCTGGGCTTCCCGATCACATCCACAAGCACGTTCACGTTCCCGTTCGTGTTCCTGCTCTCATCCCCGAGCACACTCGCCATCGCGTGCGCGTTCCCGTTCCGATCCCCGAGCACATTCCCGTTCCGGTCCCGGGCGCGCTCCCGGGGTGGGCGGGGCGCGGGCCGGGGCGCGGCGCATGCGCGGCGCGGGGCGCGCGGGGACAATGGCGGCGGCGGCGCTGGCGGCGGGCGGAGGCCCCGGGAGCGGCCCCGCGGCGGCTCCGGCGGGCGGGCCCGGCCCCGCGCTGGCCGCGGCGCGCCGCAAGGACGGCGGCCCCGCCGGCAAGTTCTGGGAGAGCCCCGACACCGTGTCCCAGCTCGACTCGGTCCGCGTGTGGCTGGGGAAGCACTACAAGAAGGTGCGGCCCGGCGGGGGCGGCGGGCACCGGGCGGGGGACGGGACGGGGCGGGGGGGCCGGAGGTTTCCGCCGCTCTTTGTGACCCGCGGCCTCGGCGCTGCGGCGGGCGCGGGGCCGGCCCGGGGGCAGCCCCGGGCACGTTTCCGCTCCCTCCTTGCCCGGGGCTGTGTTTGGGGCAGCCCCGGTGGCCCCGGGACGTTCCCGCTGCCCACGGGGGCCCGGCCGGTGCCCGCCCGCCCCGGGCAGTGACTTTCCTGTGCGGGCAGGTCCCGGCCCCGCTGGGTTTCGCTCCAGCCGCGCCCCGGCGGTGTCGGGAGCGCTGGGAAAGGGAGGACAAGGAGGAAAATCCCCCGGAGCCGTCGGGAGCCGCGTTCGGCCCCGCGTGTTGCCCCGAGCTCGCTCGCCCCGGCAGCGCCGCTGCTGCCCTTGGGCTCCTCTTCCTCCCCGCACGCTTCGCTCCCCTCGGCTGCCTCGCTTTCTTTATGTGTTTGGGGTTTTTTTTCCCCTGTGTTGATTTTATAACTTCATTTCGGTACCGTGAGGAATGCCCCGGTGTAACTTTGCAGCGGCTCCGCCCGGCGCTGCCGCGGAGCTGGAGGAGCTTTGCTGGGCCCGGAGCGGTACCGGGCATGCTGCACGGCCCCAGCTGCACGATCTCCGTGTGCCCCCGGTTCCGGGGCCGGCCCGGTTCCTCCGTCACCCGCGGAGCAGCACCGGCTGCTGGCTGGGCCCTTTGTGTGGCGGAGGATCTGAGACCGGCAATCTGAGCCGGGCGCTGCGGGGTGAAGGCAGCTGGGGCTCGGCTGTGTTTTTGTTTTTCCAGTCCTTCCAGCTCCTTCCAGCTCGGATCGGGGCGTGGGGAGCGCTTTGAAGCAGCAGCTCGGGCTCTTTGTGTTGACGGGGCGATGGAACAGAATATCTGTGCGGTTTGGCTCGTTCCGCTTGCGGGGCTGTCCCACGCCCTGCAGGAGCTGCGGTTTTCCCTTTCCCTGTCCGGGCCGGGCACCCCCGGGATCCCAGGAAATCGCTGCTCGGAGCCGGGCCCAGGTGCCCTGCTGAGCACAGAAAGTGTTTGTGTGGCTCTGAACCCTGCCGGGCTGGGCAGGGGAGCGTGGTGCAGCAATGGGAGCCAAGGGGAAAAAACCCTCCTTTCAAATTGCTTATAAAATTATTATCGTTATTATTATTTAGAAATTATATAATAGTAATTATTCTATTATAGAAATTATATTATTCTATTATAGAAATTATACTATTCTGTTATAGAAATTATATTGTTATATTATGAATTGTTATAACAATAGATATTTATTTCTTGTGGCTCTGGAAGGTAATTAGAGTTGGGCTAAGGAGACTCTGTAGGGCAAGTGAGTTTTGGAATGTTTGCTGTGACAATCCTAACAATCCTTTTAAAAAATGAAAAGTGATTTTGGTTTGAGGAAACAAGAAAGTTGATACCAATGCTTAGAGATAGAGCCTTAGCACTGCAGAGGGAAGGGCTGGTTGCCTTTTGGATGTGCTATAAGTGGACTCTGGTTCATCTTGTTCTGTTTTCATCCCACTGTGGGTGTGTGGCTCCTTCCAGAGAGGTACATGGTGATTTTAACTGGCCTTTGTCCAGTTTATGCTCTTAAAAATAGGCGTTGGTACATCTCAGTGGGGAAGCTGTCAGCAGCAGTTGGTGTGCCCAGCTCCAGGGACACTGGGGAGCAGCTGGAGAGAATCCCAGAGCAGCACCGAGCTCAGTCAGGATCCAGAGGTCCCCAGGGACAGGGAGAGTTGGGGCACTGCATTTACAGAGCTGCTCATTTTGTCTCTAGATTAGACAAGACTTTAGTATTGAAGAGTTTTCTGTGTCTCCAGAGTACAACAGCTGTTGGGGAGCTCTGTGTGTCTCCAATGTACAACTAAGAACAAAAGAGGTTTCAGTAGTAGTAGTGTGGAAGACTCACAGTGCACCTTGAAAAACTCACTGAGAGGCACCAAGCACAATGACAGAAAATGTAATTATTGATATTGTACTGAGCTGATTTATTCTAGGCTCCCTCCTGCTCCTGGTTTGTGTGTGTGTGTGATGTCTGGAAGTTGGTTTGTGTGTTTTTGAGCATCAAGGGATGCAGGAGGTGCCCATCTCCTTCCCAGGCAGTGTGGATGTTGGAGCCTTACTTCCCTGGGAGCTGGGAATGGGTTTGGGGTCCTGGGACATCTGCCAGACTTCAACAGAACAAACTCACAGGATCCTGGAATGGTTGAGGTGGGAAGGGACCTCAAAGCCCATCCCATTCCACCCCTGCCATGGGCAGGGACCCCTCCCACTGTCCCAGGCTGCTCCCAGCCCTGTCCATGACACATCCAGGGATCCAGGGGCAGCCACAGCTGCTCTGGGCACCCTGCACCGGGGCTCCCCACCCTCACAGGAACTATTCGCAGTTCCCAATCCCCCATCCATCCCTGCCCTCTGGCAGTGGGAGCCATTCCCTGTGTCCTGTCCCTCCATCCCTTGTTCAGAGCAATTTGGGCAGACTCTAATGGGCACCTTGATGCCACCATAGTTACTTAGAAATTCACACTTCAGAGGCAAACTGGGCAGTTCTCTTTTTGTTATATTAACGCTCATTTACCTCTAACATTGTGCATTGTTTAGGCAGTTCCTTTCTCAGTAAGCCACATCCCTCATATTAACATGAGGTGTTCCAAAGCAGTTATTTATTGTGTGTAATACCTATTTCTAAGGTAGTCTGGGAGGGGTTTAGCAGCTGCCTGATGAAGGATGCAGCCCCTGGCCTTGGCCTTGCAGCTGAGCTCCCTGAGGAGCCCTCCTGGTGTGTTATCCATGTCCAGGGCAATATCCAGCTCCATGTCCATCTGTTGGCCCTGGGAGCTCTGTCCCTCTGGCACACAAGGCTGGAGCAGTTGATTTTTGGGGGGCAGGAGGAGGGTGCTGAGGTTGGTAAGGAGCAGGTGGGGTGTTGGTTAGAGGGATCAGGGCGTGGCTCAGCACGGGGAGCTCTGGGGCACACCTGGGACCCCCTTGGCCCAGGGAGAGGGGTCTGAGCACATCCCTGGGCTGGGGCTGCTGCCCAGGGAGGGTCTGCAGGGCAGAGCTCCAGGCAGAGCTGGCATCTCCTCCTCCCTGCCAGAAATATCCCAGAGCAGGGCACAGGCTGGCGCTGGCAGCTGCTGGGGACAGTTGTGCCATCAGTGTGCCAGGCTGGCACCACCTGCTGTCCCCAGGGCTGCCCTGGCAGTGTCCCTGCTGTCCCCGGGGCTGCCCTGGCAGTGTCCCTGCTGTCCCCAGGGCTGCCCTGGCAGTGTCCATGGAGTTGGATCCAGGGAGGGTCTGTGTGCAGCTCTGCTGTGTTCTCCGCTTTGGAGGGGAGCAGGGGTTTGTCTGCCCTTTGGAAGGGAGCAGGGGTTTGTCTTTGTTTCCCCTTTGGAAGGGAGCAGGGGTTTATCTCCCCTTTGGAGGGGAGCAGGGGTTTGTATTTGTCTCCCCTTTGGAGAGGAGCAGGGGTTTGTATTTGTCTGCCCTTTGGAGGGGAGCAGGTTTGGAGGGGAGCAGGGGTTTGTCTGCCCTTTGGAGGGGAGCAGGGGTTTGTCTGCCCTTTGGAGGGGAGCAGGGGTTTGTCTCCCCTTTGGAAGGGAGCAGGTTTGGAAGGGAACAGGGGTTTGTTTGACCAGATCAAAGCCTTTCAGTGTACGTTTCCCGTGGCTCCTGTGTGGCTGCAGTGCCCTTTGTGTGGGGAAGGTGTGTGCGCAGCAGAGCTGAAGGGGTGTTTGAGGTCAGTGCCCACATCAAAGCCAGCCTGGATCTGTCCCCCATCGGTGACAAATGCTCCCAGGGCAGCTGCAGTGCAGCTCTGGCTGCAGAGATTCCCTCTGCTGCTGCTCACACTCTGCTTCCTGAGCACACATTTTCTGCTTAAAGATAGGGGGTGGCTTTGTGTTTCTAATTATTGTGGAAAGGTTGGAAAACTCTGCTGTGTCTGTGGGGCTTTGGCATTTCAGCAGGAGAGCAAAATCCTCTTATGGAACAGGGCATCATTCTGTCCTCTGGAATTCACTGCTTAGAAACCTTTATTTGCTGCAGGATCATTTTTTGTGGACATGAGGGGGGAACCTGGAGATCTGTTGGACTTGATGCCTCTGTGGTCCCTCAAACCCCTGTGCATTGATTGGGAAATTGTTTGCTGTGTTTTAATGCTTAAAAACCCATTTGTGCTGCTCATTAGGATGCAGAGATGATGGAGGGGAGTCTTGGGCTTCTTTTTGAAGGGTTTTTCCCCTTTATTGTTCAGGGGACCTCAGGCAAGGTAACGGGCTCCTCATTAAAAGGATCTGCAGGATCGTGGCAGTGCAAGGCAGGATGAGAAGGTGTTGTCTTCCTTTATAGCTTCCAGCTGTCAGTGCCTCCTGCAAGAGGTAAAAATGGGAGCTGCAGGAAAAGGAATGACTGCCTGGAAAAGTTCCCCTGTCTAAGAATAGGCTGTGCAAGGTGCATTCTCATGTAATTTTCCTTCTGAAGGAAAATATCCGAAAAAGTATATATATTGTCAGTACAAGGATGCCACTTCTTCTGGATTTGTTTTTTGAAGGAGGTTCATAGAATCCCAGACTGGTTTGGGTTGGAAGGGACCTTAAGGATCATGCAGTGCCACCCCTGCCATGGCAGGGACACCTCCCACTGTCCCAGGTGCTCCCAGCCCTGTCCAGCCTGGCCTTGGGCACTGCCAGGGATGCAGGGGCAGCCCCAGCTGCTCTGGGATTTCTATTCTAGGGCCTGCCCACCCTGCCAGGCAGGAATTCCTTCCCAAGATGCCATCCAGCCCTGGCCCCTGGCAGTGGGAAGCTGTTCCCCCTTGTCCAAAGTCCTGTGCAGAGCCCGGAGTTGGACTCGGTGATCTCTGTGGATCCCTTCCAACTCGGGATATTCTGTGATTTTGATGTAATTAAAACATGAATTCCTGGGGGAGGGAAGAGGGCACATTGAAATGCAGCTTTGAAATGTTAGCCTTCAGTTCCTTCCAGGCTCGTGTTTCTGGTTCAGGATTTATACCAGGACAGGACACTGGGGAGCCTCAGGGGGATTTGTGTCCTTTGAGCTGGGGAGATTTAATTTCTCAGCTATGTGCCTGCTCCTGAGAAAGTGCTGGGGGAATTCACATCTCAGGGTGGTCAGACACTGACATTGTGATTGTTTCCATTCGCTCTGTGGCTTTGTGGTGCCTTTGGCTTTGCAGCTGATGCTTTGCAAAGCTCAGTGAGGTTTGACTGATGTTTGGCACCACAGCTTTAAAACTTTGAGGGTCTGGGTCTCAAACTCATTTTTAAGGGGTTTTAGCAGAATCTGATTTGAGGGAAGAGGAAAAGCTGAGAGTTACCCAGCTGAGAGGCTGGGGCAGCTCGAATTGCTCCATGTTCTACCTGGAAAAAGTGATGTTTGTTCTCCTCTTGGCTGTCACCTGGCACAGCGAGGAGGTGACATCCAGTGAGTGAATACTGAATATCAGGGGTGACAAAAACTCAGCACCATGGGAGGGGTTTAATGCTTCATGCTGTGATTTCACATTCACAATGTAAATGTAATTTTACTGAACCTTGGGAGCTGGTCAGATTGTCCCAGACCATCACAAGTGCCTCTGTGTGGCTCAGCCTTTCCCTCTGTGCAGGACATCCTATTTATACCAAGGGCTGCTCTGAGGATTAACTGGGAGTGGATTAGAGCAGGAGGCTCTGTGTGTGTGGGCAGCACGAGCCTGGTCCTGTATTAGGGGCTGAGTGGTTAATCCTTGTCTGGAGCCCAGCTGGGAGCTCAGGCACAGGCGAGTGCTGGATGCTCAGCCTAAAGCTGGAAAATGGTTCTGCAGGGTGCTCCTCCTGTGCAAACCCCCCTGCAGCCCTTCCCAGGGATCCCAAAATGCTAAAACTCTGCTCTGCAGGTGCAGGAGGAAGCATTCCTGTCCCCACAACCTGTGTTTCTTGTCTTGCAGTACGTTCAGGCAGATGCTCCTACCAATAAAACCTTGGCTGGGCTGGTGGTGCAGCTGCTGCAATTCCAGGAAGATGCCTTTGGAAAACATGTCACCAATCCTGCCTTCACAAAGCTTCCTGTGAGTATTGTGTTGTGTTCTGCTGGGGCTCTCACTGCTGCCACAGCTCTGTGTGTGCTCCGGGGACGTGTCCAGGGCACTGGGACGTCCCTGCCCCAGCCCAGGCTCCTGCTGCACCCTCTGGAGGGGCTGGAGGAGCACACCCCTCCTTAGTGCCCATTTGCACTGTAATACAGCTTCTCTCTGTATTTGAAATGATTTCTGGAATGCTGTGGGAACACTTCCATTTCTGCTAAAACTCAGTGTAATTCATTACCTTTAAGTCAATTCTGGACTGGTACCTCCTAAACTGAGTGAGTAAAATGCACTTTCCAGGGCAAACGAGCTGCCATGAGGTGTTTTGGTGGTTAAACTCCAGACTTGGGAGGTTGCCAGGGCTGAGAAGTGCCCTTGCCACGTTCTGCAGCAGCAGCAGGCAGTGCCCTGCTGGCCTGGGGTGGCTCTCAGTCCCCTGGGATCCAGGGAGCCAAAACAACATCAGCATTGTGAGGGTGCTGCTCCCCAAGGGCAGCCTGGAGCCCTGCCCTCGCCCAGGGGTCTGTCCTGGGCAGTGTGGGGTGCACAGAGGTGGGAGGAGGGCAGGGTGCCAGCCTGGAGCCCTGCCCTCACCCAGATCCTGTCCTGAGCAGTGTGAGCCCCAGAGGAGGGCAGGGTGCCAGCCTGGTGCCAGCCGGGTGCTTTGGGGGGTCTGTGGGCCAGGGCAGTGCCCTGATCCTGTCAGGGTGTGCTCAGCTTTGGCACAGATGTGTGCTGGCACCGGGGCTGTGCCTCTGGGGCTCTTTGGGGTGGGAGCACAAAGCTGAACCATTTCCAGCCAGTGAGGAGGTTGGAGCCCATGGAAGCTGAATTTGGCCTGGAAACTTGGCAGAGCTCCTGTGGCTGTGGGTGCACGTGCCAGGACAGTCCTTGTTCTGTTCTGTGCTGCTGTCCCCAGGTGTTTGCCCCTGTAAGCTCTCCATGAGGGTGGGGTGTGCACACTCCTTCACTCGTGGGGTGAATCCCACAACGATTCCCAGATGAATTTTAGAAGGAATCCTTCCCTTTGAGCCCTGGCACGGGTGCCCAGAGCAGCTGTGCTGCCCCTGGATCCCTGGCAGTGCCCCCGGCCAGGCTGGACCCTGGAGCACCCTGGGACTGTGGGTGGTGGCCCTAGGACAGCACAGGGGGTACTGAATGCACCTTAAGGTCCCTCCATCCCAAACCATTTTGGGATTTTGTGACTCTCCTGGAGAGCACCCAGGAGCACCCCAAGGTGCCATTGGGATCTCACCACCTCTCCTGGTGCCTCAGTGCTGGTGGGAAGCTTCAGGGACAGGGGGAGCTTTGCAGAGCTTTATTTGGATGTGGCAGCACAAACCATAAACCTGCCCACATTCCTCAAGTGCATAAACCACTGGAGTGCTCCTGAGCCTTAAATCAATTTGTCTTATCTTAAAAATGAGCAATAAACATGGCAGTGGCATCATAAAGATGTTGTTCCTGTGTTTGTTCTCGCTGCTTCAAAGCTCTAATCTGGCCAAATTCGCTCAGGTTCGTTTACAGCCCATGGATATCTGTTACTTCCAGCAGGACTCGGCTCCTCAGTGCATCCTCAGCAGTTGCTGCTCTTTGGGGGTCTGTCATACTCCCAACATTCAGCCCTGGTGGTAACCAGAGCCTGGCCTCTGAGCACCTCCCCACATTCTGCTTTGTGCCTTGTACAGGCTTTTTATATTCACTGGGAAGCACAGTAGTAGTAGTAATAATAATAATACTAAATAATAATAATAATAATGAAGGGCAGAAATGAGGTGGGTTTGGTGTTTTAGGGCAGGTGTGCAGCTCCTGACACACAGCTTTCCCTGGGGAGGGAGGGATGGATGGAGTGTGGAATAGCTGAGCTCTGCCTCATTCCTGTGCTCATTCCTGATGATCTGCTTTGATGCTCTCACACAGGTGAAGAGCTGCTTCCCTGACAGCTACACAGTGAGGTTTAATTTGCTATGAAATGGGTGTTCAAAGAGTGCTTTGGATTTTTACAGCTCTGCTTGGAGCTTTCAGATACATCAAATTCCTGCAAACACAAAGAATTCTGCCTAATCCAAATACATTTAATCTTCAGGAAACATTCTGAAAGGAAAACCTCAAACTCCAGAAGTGTTTCATCTGAAAATTAACTTTTCATTTGATATGTTCTATGTCTAAAACTCAGCTAACCCTTGTATTTGTTTAAAATAATTGCATAAAAGTCAATGTGACTGTTTTTCCTTGTTTTCTGGGTTCCAGGCAAAGTGCTTCATGGATTTCAAAGCTGGAGGTACATTATGTCACATTCTTGGTGCTGCTTACAAATATAAGAATGAACAGGGCTGGTAAGTTTTTATTTGTATTTTATTTTATTTATACACCTTTTGCATGAAACCAAGCACATGAATTGCTTGTGCAAACTACCTAAAGTTTAATCCTTCCTGGAGACTGGGGCAGGCAAGGCAGTGGAGATGGGAAGAGGGAACTTTTTCCTGTTTTGCTGATGGTAGCTTTTTTAAGAGACACCCCCACACTTCTAAATTTAAAGAGGAGTTGGCCAAGTTTAAGGTTTTGTGTCTGTAGTTGGAGTTAATTACAAGTTTGAGGCTCCTTTTTTATTTCCTTGCTGTCTGACTGAGAAAATGAACCAGGATCAGTCTCACATCTGTGAGATGTAAATCTTTGTTGCTGTGTTGATTATTTGGTTTAGTTATGACTGGGAAAGCATGAGGCACTGCAGATCCTGGTAAATGTTCAGGTTTCCATTGCTCCAAAAATGGGGAGTGTAAGCACTTAGAAACTGCCCCTGGAGCTGTTGGTACTGGGATGAAAATATCCCTGTGACATCCCAGGAGTGGTTTAACCTGGGTGTTTTTAAGTTACAATCCTCTTCCCAAGGGAACAGCAGCGTGGGAGCATAAAATCCTGGAGTGGTTTGGGCTGGAAGGGCCCCTGAATTCATCCAGTTCCACCCCTGCCATGGCAGGGACACCTTCCACTGTCCCAGGCTGCTCCAAGCCCCAGTGTCCAATTGAAATCACTGTTTTTGGCCTTGAAATCACTATTTTTGACAGCACTGGGCAAAAAAAATGAGGATGAAAAGCCAATAAATGTAAACAATCAATAAAATTAAGCAGAGATTGTTCCTGTCCACAAATTTCAATAGTTTGGATGTGATGTTTCCAATCTAGCAGCATTCCCGGAATTGACTGAGTTGTTTTTACACACAAGAGCCATTTAAAAGGCAAAACAAAGTTGTTTGAGGATGGTTGGTTGTTTTTAGGAATTATTTGTATTCATATCTGCTCTGTCTGAGGTGGATTTATCAGGAATAACCCACTCTCAGGGGCTTTGCTATTCCAATCCTACCAGCACCTGGGACAGGCACCTCTGCAGTGTGGTTTGTCAGCAGTGTCCTGCTGCCTCTGTGCCTTAACATACAGGAATGAAATGGTTCCAGCTTCAGGAACCTTTGAATGGAATGAACATTCCTTATTTTCAACAAGAAAATGTGGTGTGCAGCCAGCTGCCCTGCCCAGCAGGGCTCTGGAGCTGCCTCCTCCCCTGTCCCTGCCTTGCTGCTGCCCAGGATTAGGTGGGTAGTGCCTGGTGCGTGTGCATGCGGGCAGTAATCCTGCACTTAACTCTGAGCTCAGCCCTAGAGCCTGGAATGTGCCCCCACTGACTCTGCCCAGTGATCTGTGCTGCTTGCCTGCCCTGTGCTTGATTTGATTTTTGTTTTGGTCTGCGTTGTCGCTCCTGCTTAACCTGTTTGTGACTGATCTGTCTTATAGGAGAAGTCCCCTTCCTCGCCACAATAGGTATGTCTGGGAGCTGGACATACAGCCTGGCCCAGCCTCTGAGCTGAGCCCAGGAACAGTTAGTGCCATTTTGTCCTCATGGGCAGCTGAAACAGCGCTGTTACTCATTGTCCGTGTCCTTCTCTGGCTGTCTGGAGCAGGCAGGGAGCTGGGGCGTGCAGCATTCCATGGATGCACAGTGCAGGTGTAGAGCTAAAAATGGCAACGTTCTGCTCGTGCCCTGGTGTCCTTGTGCCACAGGTACCAAGAGATCTGTAGGAGTTTATGTGGCATTTGTCTCCCGCAGAGCCATTCTGGGTGTTTTGGATCCAAACCATGGCTGAATACTGGAGAAAGGGCTCAGTCTTGACTCAAAATCCTCTGTATTAGAGGTGTAAAATACCTTATTAACAGTACCTGACAGCCTTGATGTCTGGCCATGCTTCTGCAAGTCAGGGTGAACTTCCCAAAGCACACAGCAAGGTCATAAATTCCTCTCTAAAAGGCTGGTTCCAATAAATGTGCCAGGATCTCACATTTGATTTGTTTGCCATGTCCTCAGGGTCAAGGGTAATTTCTTTAGGACAGAAACCATCCCCCTGACAGAGAGTGTTGGTGGAGCTGCCCAGCACCTCAGGTGCTCCCACAGAACCCCTTGCCTGGGCTCCTCCCTCCTGGAAATCCCTGGAGGAGATCCTGGAGGTCCCAGTGGGGTGTCATGTTTGATTTAGTGGGGTCACAGGGCTTGGGGCTGAAAGCTTTGGGGCTGAACTTTGCTTTCCTGAGCCTGTGTGCCCTGGATAAAGGGATCTGTGCTGGGACAGGGCTGTGTTTGTGGGGAACTGCCCTTGGCTGGCAAGGGCTGGTGTGAGCTGGGGGTGACTGCAGCCTCAGTGCTCGTGGGGAGGGTGTGCCAGCCTCCACTGCCCTGCGTGTGCAAGGCTTGGGGTTACACACCTGCCACTGCCCTGGGTGTGCGGGATTTGTGTTTTACACCTGCCACTGCCCTGGGTGTGCGGGGTTTGTGTTTTACACCTCCCACTGCCCTGGGTGTGCAAGGCTTGGGGTTACACACCTGCCACTGCCCTGGGTGTGCAGGGTTTGTGTTTTACACCTGCCACTGCCCTGGGTGTGCAGGGCTTGGGTTCCCACAGCTGCCACTGCCCTGGCTCTGCAAAACTGGGTCTCACATCCCCCACTGCCCTGGGTGTGCAAAACTTTGGGTTTCACAGCTGCCACTGCCCTGGGTGTGCAGGGTTTGTGTTTTACACCTGCCACTGCCCTGGGTGTGCAGGGTTTGTGTTTTACACCTGCCACTGCCCTGGGTGTGCTGGGTTTGGGATTCACACCTGCCACTGCCCTGGGTGTGCTGGGTTTGGGATTCACACCTGCCACTGCCCTGGGTGTGCAGGGCTTTGGCACCTCCTGGAGCTTTGGGACAGGCTGGATCCTGATTCAGCACCTCCTAAGAGCTCCTAAGGCTGGATCCTGAGGGTTCAGCACCTGCTGGAGCTTTGGGACAGGACAGGCTGGATCCTGAGGTGCTGAAGCTCTGGGGCAGGCTGGATCCTGAGGGTTCAGCCCCAGCTGTGGCACTCCCTGCAGCTGCTGGGGCTGTTTTGGGGCTGGGGCTGTCCCAGCTCAGGCTCTGGGGTCACCACCCCAATCCCTCCTTTGGGTTGGCCCATCTGTGAGTTCCAGACATGTTCAGGGCACAGCACAAGGAATCTGGGGGCTCCCCTGCTGCTTCCCAGGAGGATTCTCAGGTGTTGTGTCCTCCCCCATTTCTGATGGACGCATCTCCATTGGCATTGCAATATTTGTGATGATTTGTCCATGGAATAACAAAATTAGAGCACCGGGGTCCAGTAAAGGTGGTGATACAATGCTGCCATGGGTTATTAGCTGCCTGTGCCCTGGGGGGTGGTTTGTTCTCACACCAGGCACAGGAATTGCTGCTTCTCTGGACTGCAGGACTGCTGGATGGGGCAGCCAGAAGTAAGAGAACCATGAGGGCTCATCCATGAATTCTCTCATCTGCTGTTGAAATCCATGGTGGTTGTGTGTTCAGTTACCCCCTGTGACTGTGGTGGAATGCACAGCCCTGCTGCAGGGTCTGGTGGACACTGTCAACCTTCCTTTTTCTCCCTGCACATCTCACAAATCAGCTGCATTTCTCGGTGTGGTTCATGGTGGTTTTCCTGCTGCTGAGGGTGCCAAGCGCAGCAGAAGTAGTTGTGGCTGTGCCGGAGTGTCCTGGCACCCCTGCCACCATCCAGAGTTTGTGTGGAGCAGGGAAGGTTCTGGACTGCTGGCAGCTGGGGGTGTGCAGTTAATATTTGTGAATCATTTCCCTCGACAGGAGGAGGTTTGACCTGCAGAATCCCTCGCGGATGGACCGGAACGTGGAGATGTTCATGACCATTGAGAAAACACTGGTGCAGGCAAGGAGAAACCTAGCCCAGGGCAGGAGAGACCCAGCCCAGGGCAGGAACCACTCCCTGGGCACTCAGGGCAGGACTTCACCCTGGCCCTCTGTAGCAATGGGGGACCCTCCCCTCCCTCTCCCACCCAGCTCAGTCACAATTCCACATTTTCACTTGAGAAATGTGAAATATTTCCATTGGCCCTGTGTGGATATGCAGAGGTTTTTATTTTATCTATTTGTGTGAGGTTTTTATTTTATTTATTTGTGTGAGGAAAACCTGTTGTAAGCAAAGAGCAAACACCCCAGGTGTCCCCATGTCCCTGTGGAGGTGGCACCCCTGGGGCTCCTGTACCCATTCCAGGGCTGACTTCAGTTTGATCTGAACTGGCCTTTTTCAGGTCAGGATCCATTTTACTCTCACTTTGTCAAACCAGTTATCTGTACCCTTAAGCAGCTCTGTGGAGTCTCATTTGAAGTTTAGTTTTTTTAACTGCTGAGTGGCAATAATGTGTGATTTTTTTTCAAACTCTGAAGCCAAGTTCAGTGTATGATGTAGTAAAAACATAACTTTCAGGTGTCCATTAGCAATGGAAACAGGAAGAACAGCAACAATATTCTTACTACAAAAAACCCTTGCCCACGTACAATGGTTTCAGTGCATGATAAAAACCTGGGCAGGGCTTTGCTGGGGAGCTGTGGGAAGGGAATGTCCCTGTCCCAGGGCTCCTGGAGCTGGGATCACTGACCTGTGTCACCCCCTGCTCTGGAGTTCTAACTCTGGGGATTTTATAGGAATATTCTGATTTTTGCCACAGAGACCCCCTAATTCCTTGTTCCACTTGCTGTTCTCTCCCAGAACAACTGTCTGAGCAGACCAACCATCTACCTCATTCCCGACATGGAGCTGAAGCTGGCCAACAAGCTGAAGGACATTGTCAAGCGTCACCAGGTGAGTGTCACAGAGCACAGCTGCACCCAGCCCTGCCTGAGCACCCAGCAGCAGCAGCACAGCTCCCTTGGGGAGTGGGGGAATGGTTTTTACCCTGCCATGGAGGCTGAGCCCGGGCTGTGCTCTAAAAGCACTCCTGGACCTGCTGCCAGGTGGCTCTGGGTGAGCTGGGGCAGCCCCAGCTGGTTTATTGCTCAGCACAGGTTTGTCCAAACTGGGTCTGAAGCAGGGAGTGAGGCAGCTGTTCCAGATGTGTGGGACAGCAGAAGGAAGCTGGCATGGTTGTTGGTTTGTGCTTTATTTCACTCTCTGGTTGCTGGTGCTGAGCAGAGCCCAGGCAGCCTCAGGGGACCTTGCCCTCGTAATTCCAGGATGACTTGAGCAGGATTAATGGCTTCATCCTTAAAAACATAAACAGTCTTCTCACTTGTCTGCAGAGACATACCCTGGAACGTGACCTCTGCATGGTCTGGTGGCTTTTGAGTCAGGACAAGTCACAGCTGTAGCCAGAGTTTCTTTTCCAGATTTAATGTATTTCCTGTGTTGTGATTATGAACCATTGTCTCAGCCTCAGTTGGGCACATTTTCACAAGTTGCTCTTAATTATTTGGCTGATTCAGGATGGGTGTTATTGCTTAAATTAGAGTGAATGAGTCAATTTTCCTTTCATAAAGGAAGTCTGTAGTGAGCTCCACGCTGTATCCACGAGTGATTTAAGGGATTTTTAAAGCAGCTTTGCCTCTGCAGGGATGTGAGGAGATGAAAACAGAAATTGTCCCTAATTCTGCTTTTTGGGCTTTCCTTTGCTCTGCCTCTGAATGCTTATCTTGTCACCAGCTTTGCTTCCTCACATCTTGGTTATTTTCATTTTTAACCCCTTGCTGTCATCTCCCTGCTACCCCAGCCCAGTGCCTGTGGCTCCCTGCTGTCCCAAGTCCTCCCTGCTCCAATTTTTGTTATTTTCCAGCTCCCTCCAGAGCTGCCCTGTCCTTTCCTGAGCTGTGGGAGCTCTTGCCCTTCAGCCCCTGATCCCAGAGTGTCCCACATCCCACCCACAATGCTGTTCTGTTCCTGCTGCTGCCATCCAGGGATGGGATCTGCAGCTCGTGCTGTTGAATCAATCCCTTACGTGTTTATGGGGTGTAAGTTTTGAACACCAGCTGTGCTTTGGGGTGATGTGCTGAGGGTTTCTCATGCAGTTTCTCCTGTGTTTCCCACAGGGAACAGTCACTGAAGAGAAATCCAAGGCCACCCACCACGTGTATCCAAGTCCTACCTCAGTGGATGATGGTGAGGTTCTGCTTTTCAGTGGGAGTCCTCTTGTAATGAGTGCCATGAGAAGTGTGGAAGTGTTCACCAGGACTGGTCCCAGCCTGCTCCTGAGGGACATTGCTGCATTGTGGATAATGTGCCTGGAGAGCTTTGGGCTGGATATTGGGGGAGTTCCTCCCAACCCTGGAGGGATTCCAGAGCTGTGTGCCACTTGGGGACACAGGGCAGTGCTGGGGAATGGCTGCACTCTGGTCTTGGAGGGCTTTTCCAGCCTCAGCAATTCCCTGATTCTGCGTTCCTGGCTCTCCAGGGATTCTGTAGGGAATGCTGGTACAACCCTTGTGTGTGGGGGGCAAGGAGAGTTCCTCCATGAGCCTTGGCCGTGTTAAAGTTCACTCTGCCTGCATGAAATGCAAGGTCCAAAAAGAGCAATTTCACTGCTGCCTCTTTCTGCAAATAGCCAAAAATATTTCTTCCCTTTTCATCCTAAATAAAATTTAATTACCTGGGAGGTCATTGTCCTCAAAGCCCAAGTTGCACAGACATAAAGAAATCCCTTCCCCACATTCCCTGGCCTGTGCTGGCCACTAGATGGAAGTGCTCCCTGCAGTTTGCAGGGATCGGGGATGGTTTGTGTCTGTCCCTGTGGCAGCAGCAGGCTCAGCCCTGTGTGTCTCAGGCTCTGAGCCCCAGGTCACACTGGGGAACAGCCCAAAATTCCAGCAGGGACTGGGGATGGTGTGTGTCTGTCCCTGTGGCAGCAGCAGGCTCAGCCCTGTGTGTGTCTCAGGCTCTGAGCCCCAGGTCCCACAGCCCAAAATTCCAGCAGGGATTGGAGATGCAGGTTCACATCCTCAGGGTTGCTCCTGTGGTGCTTCTCTGGGCTCTGTGCTCAGGGTTTGGGTTGCAGGGTTTGGTACTTGAGGGCTGCATGGACGGATGGGATGTTGGGAGTTAGGAATTGTTCCCTGGCAGGGTGGGCAGGCCCTGGCACAGGTGCCCAGAGCAGCTGTGGCTGCCCCTGGATCCCTGGCAGTGCCCCAGGCCAGGCTGGACAGGGCTGGGAGCACCTGGGACAGTGGGAAATGTCTCTGGGACAGTGGGAGGGGTCCCTGCCGTGGCAGGGGGGATTGGCATGAGCTTTAAGGTCCCTTCCCAGACCCCCTTTAGCAGAGGGGTTTGCAGTAACTTCCCTCTGACTCACTGTGGAAAGTGAATTTTTGAGCTTTTCCCTCCACACCTGACCTGGATCTCGCTCCCTTTGCAGATGAGTGGTTGAGACCTGTGATGAAAAAGGACAAGCAGGTGCTGGTACATTGGGGCTTTTTTCCAGACAGGTAAAGATGGCTGGGGGAAAGCAAACCCTGAGTTTTAACTGTTTGTTGATGGAAAAGTCTTGATCCCAATGTGCAAAGCTTGAAAGGAATGAACCATTGATGTAAAACTGCAATATCCACACCCGTCTGTGGCACTGGCAGGTGGGTGAGGCTGGAAAAAGAGTTCTTCTGCAGAGCCACAAGGAACTGGTTGGAAATTGATTTTAAAGCTGGAATGAGCCTTTCCTAAAATTTTAAAGGGAGAACCTGGCTGTGCTCTGACAAAGAGATTTCACTCCAAGGGTTGTCTTCAGTCAGGTGCAAGTGACTGTTAAAGCATCCTTTGAGAAACCTGCCCTGTGCTCTTGGAACATGTTGAAATTCTATGTGTGTGCTGATAGAAACTTCACTGTATTTGCAATAACTGGTTTCTGAGCCCAGGCTATGGAAAATCAATCAAAGCATTGATAACCCAGTATTGACTGCTATTTAATTAACTTTTTCAGGCCACTGAAATCTGTTCACACACCAAATTCCTGGGAATTCTGTTTCACATGGGGCTTTCAATGGAGGACAGCAAACATAATCACACTGAAGGTTTTTATTCATACAGATGAAGAGCCTTTCAATATTTCTATATTTCTATCAGTAGTCAGGCTTGTATTGGCATTTTTAAACCAGGTGCACACAAAACAGTGTAAAACCAGGGTGCTGTGGGCACATCTTTCCTTGCACCTGACTCCCTCCTGTTCCTCAGCACCTGCTGTTGGTTACAAAGGACACTGTGGCTTTTGCTGTTCCTCACTGCAGTTTGTTAATAAATAGACTTTTGAGGGAATGATGTGGAAGAGTGAATATAAATAATGAGAGGTTTCTAGGGCAGGGTGCAGCTTCCTCCCTTCCAGGAATCCAACAGCTCTTGCTTTGAAATCACAAGAACAGGGAGAAGTGGATTAAGTTAATGGCGGGGTTTGGTTGGGTGACTCAGAGCTGCCTTTACCCCCTGAACCTCTCCAGACTTGCACTTGGAGCTGGAGTGGTTCACTGAGAGGATTTTTAACTTTTCACGTGCGTTGGATGCCCCGGGGCCCTCCCTGTGCCCTGTGCCTGGTGCTGTGGCACAAAGCAGGATTGTTCCCTGTGGGAACGAGGGCTGCACGTGCCAGGGCTGCTGCAAAACCATTCCTGCTGCTCCTGGTGCCTGAGCTGCTCTCTCCTGACCCTCCCCAGCTACGACACCTGGGTCCATGCCAGCGAGATCGAGGCGGAAATCGAGGATGCTCCCATCCCTGAGAAACCCTGGAAGGTGAGTGTGCCTCAGGCCCTGGAGGGTGAGTGAGTGTGCCTCAGGCCCTGGAGGATGAGTGAGTGTGGCTCAGGCCCTGGAGGGTGAGTGAGTGTGCCTCTGGCCCTGGAAGGTGAGTGTGGCTCAGGCCCTGGAGGATGAGTGAGTGTGCCTCAGGCCCTGGAGGATGAGTGAGTGTGCCTCAGGCCCTGGAGGATGAGTGAGTGTGGCTCAGGCCCTGGAGGGTGAGTGAGTGTGGCTCAGGCCCTGGAGGGTGAGTGAGTGTGCCTCAGGCCCTGGAGGATGAGTGAGTGTGCCTCAGGCCCTGGAGGATGAGTGAGTGTGGCTCAGGCCCTGGAGGATGAGTGAGTGTGCCTCAGGCCCTGGAGGGTGAGTGAGTGTGCCTCTGGCCCTGGAAGGTGAGTGTGGCTCAGGCCCTGGAGGATGAGTGAGTGTGGCTCAGGCCCTGGAGGATGAGTGAGTGTGGCTCAGGCCCTGGAGGATGAGTGAGTGTGGCTCATTCCTTCCCAGGATCCCTGTGCTGGGGCAGTTGTTGTTTTGGCCCTGCTCTGGTTGTTCCGCACTCACTGTGTTACCCTGGCCATGTTCTGTGTGTGCTCCTGGAGTCACAGCAGCCCAAGCTGAAAGGACCTTGGAGTCTGTTCCAGCACCTGTAACTCACTGGAAAGCAGGATTTTGGGGTATAAACCTTACTAGGAATAGTCAGAGAATTGTGTGAAATAATAATAAATCAGTAATAAGTTACTCCAGAAGGTTTCTCAGCTGTGTAAACCAAACTCTTTGAAGGTGGGTGTTATAATCCTGACAGTTGGCTTTGTCCCTCCAGTGAGTGGCCAACTCTTGCTCACATTCGGTGTTTGTGGCACACCTGCCAAGGGGCTGTGTGTATTTAGGAGGTTTGGATGGCAATTTTCAGCGTGCAAAGAGCACTGGTAACCCAGAGCTGCTGTCCCAGCTCTCAGAACTGACCTCCCACTCCAGGAGGCCTGAAAATGGTTGAGGAACAGAGGTTGAGTCCTGGGACTGTTGAGGTCTGGGTCCTGTTCATCCTTTGTGGTGCTGCCCTGTGCCACTGCCAGGAGTGTGTGTGACACCAGAGGGACTGGGACACTGCAGGAGTGTGTGTGACACCAGAGGGACTGGGACACTGCAGGAGTGTGTGTGACACCAGAGGGGTTGGGACACTCAGGCCTGGTGAAGCTCCAGGAGTGTCCCTAAGCCTGGGAGGTCTCCCATGGAGCTGTTTCTCCCCAAAGCATCAGCCTGTCCCTGTCTCCTGGTGTGCAGGTCCATGCCAAGTGGATTCTGGACACGGATGTGTTCAATGAGTGGATGAATGAGGAGGATTATGAGGTGGATGAGAACAGGAAATCCGTCAGCTTCCGCCAGAGGATCTCCATGAAGAACGAGGAGGTGAGGGGGGACAGCAGTGTCCTTTAGCTCTGCATGCACAGAGCTGGAAAAGGGAGGGATCCAGGGAGAGCTCAGAGCCCCTGGCAGGGCCTGAGGGGCTCCAGGAGAGCTGGGGAGGGACTGGGGACAAGGATGGAGGGACAGGACCCAGGGAATGGCTCCCAGTGCCAGAGGGCAGGGATGGGTGGGGTACTGGGAATTAGGAATTGTTCCCTGTGAGGTGGGCAGGCCCTGGCACAGGGTGCCCGGAGCAGCTGTGGCACCCTGTTTTGGGGTGGGTTAAGGAAGGATGCAGCCTCCAGCCCTGCAGTGGGACAATTTGGGGGTAACTCAAAGCTCTGCTCCCTCCCAGCCCGTGAGGAGCCCCGAGAGGAGGGACAGGAAAGCAGCAGCCAGCACAAGGAAGAGGAAACACTCCCCTTCTCCACCCCCCACTCCTGTGGAGTCCAGGAAAAAGACAGGGAAGAAAGGGTGAGTGTCTGCAAGTGTCCAGAGGCCTGGAAATGGAGGTGAAATGAAATGAGGGAGAGAAGAAATTCAGGAAATGCTTATGGGGAGTGCTCTGTGACCTGGGCCTCTGGAATTATTTCTGGATAGGCTTGAGGGATTATTCCTGGGCAGTTTGTGCAATTCCTTATTCTACCAATGTTTTAGCCAGATAAAAACCTAATTACTATTACTTAAATAGCAATTAGGAAGTTTTTAATAGTAATTAAAAACTTAATTGCCAATTATGGGGTATTATTTGTGGGTATGGAGGAGAGCACTTCAAAGCTAAAAATTCAGGTGTTGTTTATGCACCTGTGGAGCTCTATTGAGACAAAACTGGAACTTTATCAGGAATGAGTTGATAATCTGAATTCCTCCTCCCAGGTGTAAAGCCTGAGTTGGGGTCTGTGAGGACACATGGGGCTGGTTCTGCCCCTGTTCCCAGAGTGGTTTCAGGAGGGTTTGAGCCCCTGTCCTGGCACTGAGCACTGTCCAGGAGCACCTGGCACAGCCCCTGTGTCTGCTCTGTTCCAGGCAAGCAGCTCTCTATGGCAAGAGGAGGGGGCAGAAGGAGGAGGATGAGCAGGAGGATCTCACCAAGGACATGGAGGATCCCACCCCAGTGCCCAACATAGAGGAAGTGGTACTTCCCAAAAATGGTAAAATGTGGGAACACTTGGGGCTCTTCGAGTGTTAGGAATGAAACTGCACTAAAATTGTGTCTATATTTTGTCAAATCTTCGAAATACTCCGTGGCGATGGATCTCTGCCCATAAATTTATCTAGTCAGGCATGTAACAGCTGAAAAGGGCAGCTTTGTCACCTCCTTTTGGCCTTTTAAAATACAAAACTGCATTTATAAAAGACACTTTTAAAAATAGATCTGCAACGATCTGCTGAAATGTTTCCTTTCACTGGCTCGTGTTGGGGGAAATGGAGTTTTCTGGAGCAAAGTATTTCCCTGCCAAGCCCCCAGAAGAAGGATGTTAAATGAGTGGAAAATGTGCTAGTGTCAAGTGCTTTTAGTCCTTTTCAGGGCAGTGTTGGTGTGGGCAGTAATAATTCTGGGAAAAAGAATTCCTCCAGCATCCCTGGCAGCAATAATTTGGGAGTCTCTGTTTGGGTGATCCTTGGATGTGCCCTGGAGCCCTGCTGTGTGTTGGGCAGGGCTGTGAGGAGCTGGGAGTGCAGGGCAATGGGACAAACGGGCCCTTGTGCTGCTGTGAACTCCTGAGCTGCAGGCAGGGCCCAGGGAGCGGGGCCAGGCTGCTGCTCTGCTGCTCTGCTGCTCTCTCATCCCTCTGTTCTTGCAGTGAACCCAAAGAAGGACAGCGAGAACACGCCCGTCAAAGGCGGAACCGTGGCAGACCTGGGTAAAGCCCCTGAGCCCTCACCCTCAATCCTGCTTCCAGCCAGTATTTTAGAATATATATTAAATATTTCTAAATCTCCCAATTTAAAAAGCAATCTCTACTTCTGCTGTTTTGTTGAATTAATTCATATTTCATACAAATTCAAGTTCCACTGTACCAGCTCTTCACTGCAAGGCTGTTCCCTCATAGGCTACTGTTACTTTTATTTTTTAACATGACATACGAGCTCCTTTCTAACAGATTTTTTTTTAAACTGGGAATCAGGGTAAATCACAGGTTCACTGAGCTTTGCTGAGCCTTGACACAAGATACAAACTTGTATCCCATATCTTATCATACAAGAGTCACCTAAGACACTGGGAAAGGAAGTAATTAATTGTGGATTCTGAAGTGTTGAGAAATTCTAATTATTCTTCCTGTATTCTTACCTGTTCCCTGGTCTGGGATAGGTAAAGGTGTAATTGCTTTAGTGATGTGGGATCCCCTTTGTTTCCCTCCTCCCTTCCCTAAGAAATTAAATGTCCTTTCCAGTTAAACAGTTGTGTTGCTGGAAAGGCTCCTGAGCATTTAGATGAGTTTATTGGTGTAATTCTCAATGTTTTTCCCTTTCAGATGAGCAGGATGAGGAGACAGTGGCGACTGGAGGAAAGGTAACAGCACCTGCTGCTTCCTGGATGTGGTAACAGCTGAGATTGTACAATCCCAGAGGGTTTGGGCTGGAAGGGACCTTGGAAAGCACCCAGTGCCAGCCCTGCCATGGCAGGGACACCTTCCCCTGTCCAGCCTGGCCTGGGACACTGCCAGGGACAGCCACAGCTGCTCTGGGATTCCCATCCTGGCCCCTCACCAGGAACAATTCCTCCCCAGAATCCAACCCTGCCCTCTTTCTCTTTGAAGTCATTCCCTGTGTCCTGTCAAGATCTTAGCCTGGCCTTCAGTAACTTCACCTGAACTCATTTTCCAGTGATCTGTGAGATGAAGATTAAATCACTGACTGACGGGATGGAGGGTTTGTTATTATAGAGCTCTCCAGGTTCTGTGGATGACTTGGTATTTTTAAATCTGGTGTATCAGAAAGGAGAATGAGGAGACAGATGCTGAGTATTTTCCAAGAAGCATTTTTCAGAGAGAGGTTTTGCTTTGTTTTTTCAGTTTTAGGACTAAATCTAAGCGCTGCTTTGGCTCCCTGATCATTTCAGTAGAGCTGCAGGGGTAGTTTCTGTATTGAATTGCATTTGTGGCATGCCAGGCACTATTTTTAACAGATGTCAGATCCCTGAATGTGTTCAGAGTGATACCTTGTTGTCTTTGGGGGAGCTCAAACAAAGATCTGATCACAGATAACGATCCATTATTGATACCAGTGACTCCCCAGGCTCTGCCTGTGGCACTTGGCTATTTTTAATGCCACTCAATCAACACCTGAGGTGTTTTGTACAGTCCTTGTCACGTCCTGACCCTGTTTTGCTGCCTCCTCTGTGCCCTCCTCATCATCACTGGGGCTCAGCAGTTGGAGCTTGAGTTGCAGAACAGCAGCTGTTCACAGGAGGGTCGGTGGAGGGGGCCCAAAGCTGTCCCTGCTCCTCGTGGGGGAGTCACAGAATGTGGGCTCAGGGACCCTGTGCTGCTGTCCCTGTTCCTGGGGGTGTCACAGGGTGTCTGTGGGCTCAAGGACCCCTGTGCCCTCACCTGCTGTGTCCCCCTGTGCCCCAGGAGGACGAGGACCCCAACAAGGGTGACCAGAGCCGCTCCCTGGACACAGGAGAGGACAATGTCACCGAGCAGACCAACCACATCATCATCCCCAGCTACGCCTCCTGGTTCGACTACAACTGGTGAGGGGCCCTGGGCCAGGGGAGGTCCATAGGGTGGTGAGGGGTACCTGGGGCAGGGGGATCCATGGGGTGGTGCCTGCTGCTGCCTGGATCCTGTTCCCCAGTGAGATCTCCTGTGGAAAGGCTGCTGGGGGAGGCATTGAGGTGCACACACCACCCTCACCGTGGCCAGCTCAGCCAGGAGGGGCAGCAGGGCCTTTTGTAGGATCAGTTCCAGCAGGGTTTATTTCAGCACAGCCAAGGGAAGTCAGGGATAAAAGAGCTGGCCATGTGCTGTGCACAAGGTTGGGTGTGGGAGGGCACAGGGGTGGCACAAAGGGTTCAGGATGGGCGCACGTTGGGGTGGCATTGCCCTACAGGGAAGGCAGGGCTGGCAACCAGGGGTGCCACAGCCAATGAGGGGACAGGGAAAGGAGAAGCCACCAGAATTTGGGACATATGGGGAAAGGAACTGGAGTGGTTCATGGTGTCGTGCAGGACTCCATAGGAAGTCTTCTCCTTCAGCCTAGGTGGGGAAAACTCTGTGGGAAATTGTTCCAAGGCAAGGCCCTGGGATTTCCCTGAGGGGGAAGCATTCAGAGGATTCCACAACAGCCCTGGGGCTTTCCCGGAGGGGGAAGGGGGAAGCATTCAGAGGATTCCACAGGCAGGCTTCACTTTGTTTTGTTTTCTCACCAATCAGCCTGGGAGCTGAAGGAAGTGACTCTTGTTTAGGTCTGGTTCCCATACTTTGTGCTGAAATCTTTCTGGGCCTTCTCAGGGACTGGGAATGAGGAAGAGGATTTCAGACAGGTTTTGCATACGTTGATTTCCCTCCAGTTCCCACCTTAATTCCTTTCTCTCTTCTCTAGTCCTTGTCTGACCATTCTGTGTTTATCTCTACTCCTGAAAGCCATTTTATTTTGCTTCAGAAGTTGAGTTTGAGGAGAAGTCAGGGATTCTGGAGGGAGGACACTTGTTGCAGCCTGGAATCCCCCTTGGAGCCCGGGCTGTTTCAGGGTCTGACACTGAACTTCTGTTGCAGCATCCACGTCATTGAGCGTCGAGCGCTTCCAGAATTCTTCAATGGGAAAAACAAGTCCAAGACTCCAGAAATGTGAGTGAAACCTGGGAATGTGGGCAGGATAAAGGAGCTTCCCATCCCATAAATCCTGTGGCCACAGCTGGGTGTGTGTGAGCCTGATACTTCCTGAAGGGACAGAGCCACTGACAGTGTTTGTTCAATATTGTGGTAGAGATAAAAGTTCAAACACCAAAGTGGTATTTACTGCTGGTTATCCAGGTAAAATAAAACTACTTTCCCCCTGGTAATACTGGAACAAATTCTTCAAGTCTGTGTGGTACAAGATGTGATCACTTCCAAAGTCATGCTAAAATGTCGTGAAAGGGTAAAAGTGGAACAGTCCTGCTTATTCCTGCCTCTCTCCTCATGCCATGCTCTGTTTCTGTATTTCTGTGTGTTGTAGATGCTGTCTCAGGCTGTGGAGTGAATTTTCTGGTTTGAGTTTGGTTATTCAGAGTGATCTTGAGAGGCCATTGATAAAGGAAATATGGTCAAAGGCTTTTGAACAATATGCTTGTTTCTATTAAAATGATCCTAAACCTGAGATTTCACACCAAAAAATCCTGGGTTTGGACACCAGTGTGTGCTGGCCAGTGTGGGCAGTGGGACTGGCCTGGCTGGGGTCACTTTGTCCTGGTGTCAGATCTTGCCTTGGCTCCAAAGCAGCTTTTGGGGGTTTTAGAAGGTGATTTTTCAATCAAGTACTACAGGAAGTGTTTGAGGTATCCCCTCATTGTCCTGATGTCACCTGGGCCCTTCATTGCTCATACACAGCATTCCATGGGATCCCAGGATGGTTTGGGCTGGAAGGGACCTTAAAAAACACCCAGTGCCACCCCTGCCATGGCAGGGACACCTCCCACTGTCCCAGGGTGATCCAAACCCCAGTGTCCAGCCTGGCCTGGGGCACTGCCAGGGATCCAGGGACAGCCACAGCTGCTCTGGGAATTCCATCCCAGCCAGGAATTCCCAATTCCCAATCTCCCATCCGTCCCTGCCCTCTGGCACTGGGAGCCATTCCCTGTGTCCTGTCCCTCCATCCTTGTCCCCAGTCCCTCTGCAGCTCTCCTGGAGCCCCTCCAGGCCCTGCCAGGGGCTCTGAGCTCTGCCTGGAGCTGCTCCTGTCCAGGGGAGCATTCCCAGCTCTCCAGCCTGGAGAGGAGAATCCCTGCAGAGGTTGCAATCCCTGCAGAGATTGTCCTTGTGCTGGAATCTCCCAGCTCAGGTGTGGCTGTTGGTCTGATAAGGAAACAGGAATTGGGGGCTGTCCTTTCTGCTGGGGCCCTGGTGGTGTTTGTGTCCTGCCCCAGGAGGTCCCTGGGCCTGTGCCAGGACAGGAGCAGCTCAGGCTGGCATGGAACAGCAGCTTCTGGCTGGAGACAAGGGGAGTTCTGAGCTCTGAACAAGGCAAGGCACTGGCAAGTCGGGATTGCTGCTCCTTGGAGCCTGCCTGGACAAAGCCCTAAGGAACCTGGTGACAATTCCTGGTTTGAGCAGGAGCTTGGCTCAGACACCCCTGAGGCTCCTGGCACCCCCAGGGACTCCCAGTCCTTGCTCTGCCCTCCCAGCTTCTCTGCATGTGGGAGTGCAGGGGAAGCACCAGCAGGGCTTGGGACAAGGGGCTGCGAAGATCCTCTTGTTCCACTCCTGCCATTCCAAATGGATTTGTTCCAAGGCTCATCCAGCACTGCCTCTGTTCCAGCAGCTTTTGCAGTATGGGGGTTCCTCAGAGTGAGAGGCAGCAGGCAGCTGGGATGTGGAAGGAATGTTCCTCTCCTGGTTGTCACTGCAGGCCCAGGTGCCCTCCTGCAGCTGGCATCACCAGTCAGTGCTCCTGCTGCTCCTCCCTGGGCTGCCCCTGCTCTCTGCCTGCCATGGGAGCAGCCTGGGCACTCCTGCCACTCCTCCTGTCACCCTGGAGGTCTGGTTGTGGGGCCATCGTGGGGTTGTAGGAGCAGCACATGGTCCTGGCTCTGCGAGTTCTTTTGGGATAAAAGAGAACATCCCCCTGAATGGAGCTGAGTGGCCTCAGCTGAATGTTCAGGCCAGAACACCGTGCTGGAGGAGCTCACACAGGTTCATCCCTGTGACAGCAGTGCCTGGGGTGGCCCTGGCTGGAAAGGGATTCAGATAAATCCTGCTGGAGCTCTCACTGCTGCCAGGGTTTAGCTGGTGGCTCCTGGCTCAGAACCATCTCCCTTCAGAACCAACCTGGGGCTGTTTCTGTCTCGTGCTTCTCTCTCCTCCTCCTGATGTGACCTTTGCTAATCAATACTAATTCCTGCAGCCAGGACCTGTTCTGGGCAGGTTCTTCCCCTCCTCCCCAGGGCATTCAGGAATGTTCTCAGTGTTCCTCTGTGGAAGAAGCTCCTTTTTGTTTCCTGCCTCCCAAGCATCCCACATGGAGCCAAACACCTACTCCAGCAATTTTCTTCCAGCCAGTTGCACATATGATCTGGTCAGGAGGAAGATGTGGGATTTTGGCAGGGACATGTGCTTGCAGCATCTGCCTGCTCAGGCCTTGCCTGGATGATTTATATTTTTGGTTCCCAGCTGCTTCACACACTGCATGTGAAACATTCTCCCCTGGAATTTTCCAAAGGCAGAAATCTGCTTTAAAACCACTGTTTTACACACAGCTCTGCACTGGATACTCACTAAACAGAATCCTGCAGTAATTTGGGCACAAAAGGACCTTAAAGCCCATCTCACTCCACCTGTCTGCCATGGGCAGGGACACCTTCCATAGTCCAGGTTGCTCCAACCCCATCCAGCCTGGATGGTGCCAGCCTGCCTGTGGCAGATGGGGTTTGTTCCCTCTAAAGAGCAGGGCTATCAATAATTTTATGGCAGGTTATTTTCTTCAGGATAATTTATATTAGGAAGCATCAGTATATTCCAGAATCTTACTGAAATGGGGGAATCTCTGAGGGGTTGTTTCTGCTCCAGCCGTTCCCAGCTGTGCTGGCTCTGGGCTCTTGTCCTCTGCTTTTCAAAGGTTTTTTCTTCTCCATGTTGCTGTTCTCCAGCCTTTTCTGCCTCATCCCTTCATCCATTAAAAACTCCACATGCAGCCACAGCAGTGTTCCATCCACTTCTGCTTTTCTGTGCAGCTTTTTTCCTTCACACAGGGATGCAGCAGGATTATTTATCCTGTTCCTGTCTGAAGACCAGCTACCTTTATTTTCATCCTGCAGCTTCTATTCTGTTGTGGGGATATTTGCTCAGTGACCAAGCTGCATCACATAATTGTGTGATTTACAATTTCAACATATTTCCATGTGTTGCTGATCCAAAGACAGGGGAAAATCCAGAGTGAAGCAGTCTGGAAGAGTGTGAATTCCACTTTACCCATTGGTTTTGGTGTTGATTCTGAAATGGCAGCAATGAAAGGGATCTGCTGGTGTTTCCTGGTCAGATATGGGTGTTTGAGAGTGTGAGTGTTGAAATGCCTGCCCTGAGCTGTGGAGGAGCTGGGGGCCACAGCTGTGGCTGTTGTGTTGCAGATACCTGGCCTACAGGAACTTCATGATCGACACGTACCGGCTGAACCCGCAGGAGTACCTGACCAGCACTGCCTGCAGGAGGAACCTCACCGGGGACGTCTGTGCTGTCATGAGGTGACAGCCTGCCCTCTGGGGCCTTTGGGGACCTTTGGGGTCTGGGCCTTTGGGGCCTGCAGCTTCTGGGCATTCCCAGGCAGCAGCAGCATCGTGGAATAACCGAGGGTGGAAAAGTTCTCCAAAGATTGAGCCCAGCCCCTGCCCTATCCCCAGCACTGCACTGAGTGCCACATGCAGGCCTTCCTTGGGCACTTCTGGGTCACCTCCCTGGGCAGCCCCAACCCTGAGCACCTTTTCCATGGGGAAACTCCTGCTGTGCCCAAGTTGAGCCTGCCCTGGCCCAGCCTGAGGCCGTTCCCTCTGCTCCTGTCCCTGTTCCCTGGGATAAGATCCCAAATCCCCCCGGCTGTGCCCTCCTGGCAGGAGCTGTGCAGAGCCACAAGGGCCCCTGAGCCTCCTTTGCTCCAGCTGAGCCCCTGCCCAGCTCCTCAGGGATTCTGCAGCCCCTGCCCAGCTCCTCAGGGATTCTGCAGCCCCTGCCCAGCTCCCTCAGGGATTCTGCAGCCCCTGCCCAGCTCCCTCAGGGATTCTGCAGCCCCTGCCCAGCTCCCTCAGGGATTCTGCAGCCCCTGCCCAGCTCCTCAGGGATTCTCCAGCCCCTGCCCAGCTCCTCAGGGATTCTGCAGCCCCTGCCCAGCTCCTCAGGGATTCTGCAGCCCCTGCCCAGCTCCCTCAGGGATTCTGCAGCCCCTTCCCAGCTCCTCAGGGATTCTCCAGCCCCTTCCAGCTCCTCAGGGATTCTGCAGCCCCTGCCCAGCTCCTCAGGGATTCTGCAGCCCCTGCCCAGCTCCCTCAGGGATTCTGCAGCCCCTGCCCAGCTCCTCAGGGATTCTGCAGCCCCTGCCCAGCTCCCTCAGGGATTCTGCAGCCCCTGCCCAGCTCCCTCAGGGATTCTGCAGCCCCTGCCCGGCTCCTCAGGGATTCTGCAGCCCCTGCCCAGCTCCCTCAGGGATTCTGCAGCCCCTGCCCAGCTCCTCAGGGATTCTGCAGCCCCTGCCCAGCTCCTCAGGGATTCTGCAGCCCCTTCCAGCTCCTCAGGGATTCTGCAGCCCCTGCCCAGCTCCTCAGGGATTCTGCAGCCCCTGCCCAGCTCCTCAGGGATTCTGCAGCCCCTTCCAGCTCCTCAGGGATTCTGCAGCCCCTGCCCAGCTCCCTCAGGGATTCTGCAGCCCCTGCCCAGCTCCTCAGGGATTCTGCAGCCCCTGCCCAGCTCCATTCCCTGGACTCGCTCCAGCCCTTCAGGCTCTTTCTTTGGGGCCCAGAACTGGACACAGTCAGTGTCCACACTTTGGTTTGTCCATCACACTGCAGTGCCCTCAGGTGTGCACAGAGCTCCTGCTCTGGGATTTGTTTTGCTCTTTGGGATTAAGGAAGGACTGGAGGAGCTCCTAGGTCTGGATTTGATCTAGCACCATCAGCTCCATCCTTTGCCCCCTCCCACATGAAGCACGAGCAAACCTTTATGGGAAAGGCTGGATTTGTGCTGTTCCTCACAGGGTCCACGCCTTCCTGGAGCAGTGGGGGCTCATCAACTACCAGGTGGACCCCGAGAGCCGCCCCATGGCCATGGGCCCCCCCCCGACCCCCCACTTCAACGTGCTGGCCGACACCCCCTCGGGGCTGATGCCGCTGCACATCCGCACCCCGCAGGTGAGCCTGGGGCTGGGGCTGCCCTGGCAGCAGGGCTGTGCCCGGCTGGGGGAGTGTCCCCTGACAGCTGGGGGAGTGTCCCCTGACAGCTGGGGGAGTGTCCCCTGACAGCTGGGGAAATGTCCCCTGACAGCTGGGGAAGTGTCCCCTTCCTGTCTGAGCAGCTGGGGGAAATGTCCCCCTTGCTGCTCACCTGGGGGAAGTGTCCCTTTGCTGGGCAGCTAGGAAATGTCCCTTGTCTGACAGCTGGGAAGTGTCCACTTGCTGAATACCTGGGAAATGTCCCTTGTCTGACAGCTGGGAAGTGTCCCCTTGCTGAATACCTGGGAAATGTCCCTTGTCTGACAGCTGGGAAGTGTCCCCTTGCTGAATACCTGGGAAATGTCCCTTGTCTGACAGCTGGGGAAAGTGTCCCCCTTCCTGTCTGAGCAGCTGGGGAAATGTCCCCTTCCTATCTGCCCAGCTGGGGATAATGTAGTTTTGCTGGACATCTGGGGAAATGTCCCCTTGCTGCCAGCTGGGCCCAGCATCTGGGGCAGTTCTGTGCAGGACCACTCCCACATTGCTCAGACATTGTTTTAGTGTCTTGGGCTTGTGTTCAGCTTCTCTGTCCAGTCCATGTTCTGTGGGGTATTGGTCTGGAAACCTTGGACAGCTTTCAGTTGCTGCCCCTCTCCCCTGTAACGTTTGTTCCCAGGTTCCAGCTGCCCAGCAGATGCTGAGCTTCCCTGAGAAAAACAAGGAGAAGCCAACTGACCTGCAGAACTTTGGCCTTCGCACTGACATCTACTCCAAAAAGACTCTGGCCAAGGCAAGTGTCGCCTCCAGCTCCCTGTGAGCTTTGTTGTCCCTCAGGTGTCCCCCACTCTGTCCCTGAGGTGACTTGTGTTGCTCCCCCACTCCTGGTTTGGATGTCTCCCATCCCTGTGCAGGACACTGTGGTGGGAGGTTGTGCTGCATTCTGATTTTATGGGAATAAAGCCATGGACAGCATCCAGAGCAGTGCACACTGCCAGCCTCAGATGCCAAGCTCACTGTGTCCCTGCATGTCCTGCTGGAATGGCTCAGCAGCAGCAAACCACCCCAGGATTTGGGACACAGAGAGCTTCCAGCAGGATCTCTGCCTGGAAACCTCTCCTGGTTCCCAGGGTGGCACTCAGGGACCCCAGTGCCCACTGCTTGAGTGTCCTGGGGCCATTGCAGGGGGTGCTTGGGCACTGTCATTGCAGGGTGTCACACAGGGTAATGAAACTTGGGGGACATCATTGCAGTGGGGTGTTGATTCCACAGCCTCCTGCTTTTCCCTGCTCCCTGTGTGTCCCTGGAGGTGCTGTGGGAATGCCAGGGTACCTCAGCACAGCCTCCAGTGGGAATTGAGACTCTGCAGAGCTGGGCAGTGCCCCTCATGGGTGGCATCAGACTAATTTCATGCCATTGGTTCATTGTCCTCAGAGCTCACTGTTTAAACCTAAAAAAATAACTATTTAAACACTGTTTACCACTTCAGACCATCCTTTAAAAACCCCACAAACCCAAACCAGTTCTCGAGGTATTTTTTGTAAGGTTGGTCCATCTCACATTTCATGGATTGACTGTCTCACTTGTTAGGGGAAGTATAAATACTCTCCAAATTGATAAATCTGTTGGTGGTTGTGGGCACTGGCTGTGTTTACAGGGACTGTGAACTGGAGCAGGTTTGTTGGCAGATTGCCCTGTTTGGTTTCTGTGTGCTGGGGCTTTGTGGAGAGCAGCAGTTGGGTGACTCACATTGATTAATGTTGTGTGTGGGTTAATGAGCTGTTTGAAATGCATCTGGAGATAACATTTATTATCCTAAATAGCCTCTTCCTCTCAGTCTAGCACGGAGCCATGCAGTGGGGCTGGTGTTCCTTGGGAGCAGGTCCTGAGCTGCTTTTGTGCTGGGTCGGGGTGTCACAGGAGGGGAGGCTGCTCCATGAAATTGGAACTTCTGTCCAGTCTGAGCAGTTTACTCAGATTTGGGAGCAGCAGCCCTTGGAGCAGATGATCCTGCTGGAGTTACTCTCCCTTCTCACATAGCTCACCCCCCTGTACAGAGTTGTTATTTCTCTACCGAGTTACTGATGAACTTGGAGATAAATTCACTTATTTTGGACCAGCCCACATTGTGCCCAGCCCACTCTGCCTCCAGCTCTCAGAGGGGTTTGTTATTCAGGAAAACCCTCTGTGCTGTGTGTGCAGGCACAGATCACTGGGAGAGGAGGGTGCAGATCCCTTTGCTTTAGCTCAGAAGGCATGGTGGGAAGCTGGGGTGTGTGAACCCAGTGTGCCTTCACTGAGGAGTAAATCATGGACCCCTGCATGGAGTGACCAGCTGGAGGGGGAGGTTTGGGTGGATCAAATCACAGCTTCTTCCCCTTTCCTCCTCAGTGTTTTCTCCTACAAGGTTTTGTGCAAGAAGTCCTGTGTTTCACCTGCTTTTTTCCCTCCTGTCTTTTGTAGAGTAAAGGTGCAAGTGCTGGCAGAGAATGGACAGAGCAGGAGACACTGCTTCTGTTGGAGGTGAGTTCATGAGGCCCAGCCAGGAGGGGTAGGTCAGGCTTTAAAAATCCACATGTGCATTTTTTGGAGTTAAAGCATGACTGCCATCGTGGCTACAAGAGTGTTGCTACCAAAAAGAGATGGCAGGATCATCTCTGTGAGAGAGGGGCTGCCTGTGTTTGAGGTTTGCTTCTAACTTGGACCTGCAGGCCAGAATGAAGCAATTAACAATTTTGTATAAGTCAAGAACAGGTTTTGCAGTGCAGAGAGGTGCTTTCATTCAGCAGGACTCACTGACAGTGTGAATTGATGTCACTAATTCAAATAGTGGTAAATAATTCAGGTAAATGTTTGCCTGGCCCTCAGATAAATACTTGGGAGTTTTGATTTCCAAGCTATGCCATAGCTCAGGGAAACAGCTCATTTTGGAAGCTGAAGTGGTTGGGAAACAGTTGAGGCCACAGAGGAGGGAAGTTCTTCGGTAGCTCCTTCATCCCATCTGTCTCCTCCTTGTTTTCCTGTAGCTCAACTTGGGGTGTTCTTTGAGCTTTTTCTGGAAGTCTACCAAAAAAAAATCCCGAGATGACTCCATGAGGTGCCTTATGGTGCAGGCTGGTGTCCCCAGGTGGCTTCCAGGGAAGCTCTGGAGCACATAGGGATGGGTGGATCTCTGGAACTGCGGTGGGGCTGGAACCTTCCAAGGAGCTGCAGAGGGTTCTGGGCTCTCACATCAGGGCACTTTCTCTCTGCTTCAGCACAAGAACAATCTCAGTGGCCTGAAATAATTTAAAGTGCTGCCACTTCCTGCAAAGAAAATATCTTCTCCCCAGCTTTGCTTTCACAGGAGCATTTTCCTGATGTAGAGGCTGCATGGCTGATTTCTTTCTTTTAAGGTAATTCAGAGTTCTGAGAATTCTAGTTTGGGGCTCTGTTTTTGTTGGGTTTTATTTGCAGAGCTCAGAGCAAACTGCAATTGCCTGGTTGTTACAGCTTTTTTGTCTTCCCATGTGTCAATAAACCCATTGAAAAGTTAATTTCCTGGGGAAAAGCCTGGAGGATGGACCTGTGTCAGTGCCAAATGAGCAGCTGTGATTCAGTCTTCACACATATGGAGTGTGGTCATCAAACAGCCAAAATCTCCCCTTTTTTCCTATTTATTTTAGGTTGATATTCACTGTTTAGCCAATACTTTTCTATTGGCACATGGAAAAATTTTGCTTACAGGGTGTAAACAGCTGTTTTCCATGGCATTCTTGTAAGGAGAAACAAGGCTAATGCCTTGATATACTGACTTCTTTCCTTTTTTATTTGCTTAAATATATTATTTAAATATCTAATATTAATAGTACTGTTATTTAAAATTCATTGGTTTGTATGTTTTTAGCTTATGGTCGTACGCTTCATGCTATAGCCCAATGAAATAATCCAGTGACATATTCTGTGTTTAAAACAAACCAAAACCCCCCTAAATCTTGAGATTGCAATTCTGCTTAATGAGTTTAAATTAATAATGTTTTTGTTCCTCCTTTTTCATGGACTTGCTCCATGAATAAATCAGTAAAGAGTATATCAGTTCAAGCATAAGTAATTCTGCTGTAACAAGCCAGCTCAGTCCAATTAAATCCTCAGGGTAGCTTTGGGCAAATAGATAGGCAGCGAAGTTCCAAATAATAAATCGTATCTGAAATATAATTATTGGCCTTCTGCCTGTTGACTGAATAATTTGGGGGAGGAAATAGAGCTTTCCTCCCCAAAGCAGCCTCCCTGCACAGCCCTGTCCGTGTCCCCACGGCTCAGGCAGAGTTAAATGCATTTTCAGCTATTTTTAGGAAGGACATTTATTGCGAGCGAGGGTTTGTCTGGCAGGAAAACAACAGACGGGGAAGGAGGAGGAGCAGAAAGCAGAAATTTGGGGGTTGAGAAGCAGAGCTGATCTCATGTGCCAGTGGGGTTAAAAATGGAGATGGGGACTGAGAGCCCAGAGGTGAAATCAGGGAAAGGGAAATAAGGGCTGAGCAGAGAATAAATGTCTCCCTTGAGTGTGACTGAGCTGAGCGGTCTGTCCTCTGCTCAAGCCCTTGGAGGCCCCAGGGGCAGGAGAAGGGCTCAGCAGGGCTGGGGGATGGTGGTTCCGTGCTGGGGAGCAGGCTGGCCGGTGCAGCCTGTCCCAGGTCCTTCCCAAGCCCAGGGCTCTCCTGGAGCTCTCCAACCCCTCCTGGTGCTGCTCGGGGTCTCCAGCAGCTCCTGGGTGTTCTCCCCACCCAGCTGGGTGTCCCAGCACGCCCCACCTGCTGCTGGGAGGGAAGGAGCAGGGAGCCAGAGGCTTTCTGGAGACAACCTGGGGGTTGTCCTCTTCCACCCTAGTTAAGCAGTGAGACCTGGCTGGGAGAGAGGAACTTCAGCCAGGTTTGAGCTTAAATCACTCTGGGAAGTGCTGCCCACTGAGGCAGCTTGGGCACGTCCTTCCAGTTTGATCCATGTTGGATCTCTGATGCCTTTGGATTGAATTATCTGTCCTTGTAGCCAGTTTGCTTCCACATCTTTGCAAACAGGAGCATTTTTGCAAACATTTTCCTGACCTCAGCTGACCCTCTGCAGCCACAATGTGCCTGAGGGCCCCGTGCAGGTCAATATTTTGTCCTTGAGGAATTCTCAGAGCTTCTGTTTTAGCTGAACAAATACTAAACCACTTCAGAGCTGCTCTGAAGACAGCAGTGTGTTTGGAAGGGATGTTAGAGCCCATCCTACCCCACCCCTGCCATGGGCAGGGACACTTTCCTTTGTACCAGGTAGCTCCAAGCCCCCTCCAGCCTGGTCCTGTTGTTCCACAGAAGTTGGTGTGTATTCTGGGCCCTTACCAGGTGGAGGAACTCTGAGCACCAGGCTGGTGACCCAGTTTGGATCTTCCTCTTGTCCCTGGGAAGTGCTGAAACCCCATCACAGGAACTTTGTGTCCCTCTGTGCTCTGCTCTCCTACCTTGAGCATGTTCTCCTCGGGACCTCTGGCAGATCCAGCTCCAAGCTCTCCCTCCCTCTCCGAGAGTTCAGTCAGTCTGGAAGGTTGAGATTTCTGGGAGTTCTCAGCTTGTGGGAGAGATTTACTTGGGAAAGCTCATTTTCACACTGAACATCATCTGCCAGAAACTCAAATGGGTTTTTTTGCCTTTTCTGGGTGACTGCACCATGAATCCTCTCAGAAATGTAAAAGTTAATGGTTCAGGATATGTCAGTATTTATTTTATACTGTCCAGATACTGCACTAAAACAATTTTCAGGGAAAAAATGTCTTGTTAAGGAGTAATAATTTATTAGGCTGTGACTTGGATGGTTTTACAGGATTAATGTGTTGGTTTTCAGGAACTAGTGCAGGCCTTCAGTAGCTCCTTGCTGTAGAATTGTTTTAAGACTTTTCTTGAGGAAGTTTAAAAATGGCTGGAATTCAGAATTATGTCTTTGATAGGATCTGCAAGTTCTTGCTTTATCAGGTGCCTTATCTAGCCAGTAATGATTTGTTAGCCCTGACTTTAACAGAAATCACACTCTGCACAGCTCCTGCCGAGCTGGTCTCTCCTGGCTTCAGGGTGTGGGATAGATTTCCCTCTTTTCCCCTGGTCTATTGGCTTGATGCTTTTCCACTTCCATAGCATCTGTTGGATCTAAAGACTGGATTTCACCATCACAGCCAGGCCACATTTGGAAAAAGAAATAGAGAAATAGATGCTGTTCCTGCCCCAAAGAGCTTCCTATGTTCAGAGAGGGAGCAGAGAGAGAATCCTTGGGGGGAGTGCTGGGAATTAAAGGATTGTGAAACTTGGTAGGAAAGGCAGATTTAGTTCTCTGTGGAAGCAAAATGGGGAAACACCTACTATGCAAATATTAGTAATTCTGATGTAGTACCAGCATCCACTCCTATGATGATCCCTGTGGCTTCAACGTCACTGATACCTCTGGGAAATTCTCACATTTCTTACGCAGATAATTTTGATGCCAGAAAACACCCATTTTCAGTAGTTGTCTGATCCCCATTTACTGCTCCATCACACAATAACCAGTATGGATAACCCTTCAGCCCACAGCAGCGTTGCTTTCCCCGAGTAGCCGCCACTTTTGCCTTTTGCAGGCCCTGGAGATGTACAAGGACGACTGGAACAAGGTGTCGGAGCACGTGGGCAGCCGCACGCAGGACGAGTGCATCCTGCACTTCCTGCGCCTGCCCATCGAGGATCCCTACCTGGAGAACTCGGACGCCTCCCTGGGGCCCCTGGCCTACCAGCCCGTGCCCTTCAGCCAGTCTGGGAACCCCGTCATGAGCACCGTGGCCTTCCTGGCCTCCGTGGTGGATCCGCGCGTGGCCTCGGCCGCTGCTAAGGCTGCCCTCGGTACGGCACAGCCCTGGCCCCATGTCGTCGCCCCCTTTGCCTCATGTTCCTTGCCCCATGTCCCTTGCCCCCTTTGCCCAAAGTCCCTTGCCCCTTTGCCCCACATCCCTCACCTCACATCCCTTGCCCTGCGTCCCTCTCCTCGTGCCCCGTGTCCCTCGCCTCGCATCCCTTGCCCCAAGTCCCTCGCCCCTTTTCCCCATGTCCCTCGCCTCACATCCCTCGCCTCACATCCCTCGCCTCACGTCCCTCGCCCCTTTGCCCCGCATCCCTCACCTCACATCCCTTGCCCCACGTCCCTCGCCCCTTTGCCCCGCATCCCTCACCTCACATCCCTCGCCCCACGTCCCTCGCCCCTTTGCCCCACGTCCCTCACCTCACATCCCTTGCCCCACGTCCCTCGCCTCATGCCCCACGTCCCTTGCCCCCTTTGCCCCGCATCCCTCGCCTCACGTCCCTCACCACCTGCATTGTTCCCCCTCACCCCATGTCCCCCACCCTGTGTGTGCCTGCCCCTCCAGCCACAGGGGTGCAGAGTCCTCAGTGAGCAGTAAAACGCAGGAGTTGGGGGTACAGTTATGTGGGAGAAGCTCTGCTCCTCCCAGGTTTGTGTTCTGCTTTCCCAAAATCCCATCTGCAGCCAGGGTGCCCTGGCCAAGCACAGCTGGGGGGTCCTGTCCAGCTCTGGGCTCCTCAGGGCAAGGAGCTGCAGGAGAGGGTCCAGCAGGGCCACAGGGATGTTCAGGGCTCTGGGGCATCTCTGATGAGCAGGGGCTGCAGGAGCTGGGCCTGCTCAGCCTGCACAAGGGCAGGCTCCCAGGGGATCCCATCAATGCACACAAATCTCCCAAACTGTGCCAGGAGAAGGTGCCAGGCCCTGCTCAGGGACAGCACCAGGAGCAGCGGCACAAACCAAAGCACAGCAGCAGGAGCAGCCTCTGTCCGTGGAGGGGCAGAGCCTGGCACAGCTGCCCAGGGGGCTGGGGTCTCCTCTCTGGAGCATCCCAAACCCACCTGGACACAGCCCAGGGACCCTGCCCTGCCCTGGGTGACATCCAGGCACTCTGTGTGAAGTTGGAGTGGCTCCAGAAGGCCACTGAGTGCCCAGGAATTGCTGGTGTTACCTTCTGCCCTCACTGCTCCTGATGTGTTTGCACCTGGTGGTTGGTGTTCCTCTGAGCACTGTCACCAGTGCAGCTCTGCGTAAATTCAGTGTGGATTGTGCAGTTTTCCTGTTTTACCTGTGTGAAATTATTTGCCAGAGATCCTTGAATTCCCAGACTGGATTGGGTTGGAAGGCCCTTAAAAGGACCTCCTGTTCCACCTCCTGCAATGGGCAGGGACATCTTGCTCTAGAAGGTTCAAGTCTTGAGTGGACATTGGATGTGTCCACTCGATAAGATAGTTCATCTCAATTTTTGCCTTGTTTTTCCACATAAAACACAATTTTGTGTAATTGGGAAGAGACTCTTCTACCACACCTGAAAGGCAGAATCAACCACCTCGTGTGAGAGAAAGGAACTCAGCTGTTTGAGAATTCCCTTTGTCCCAGGGTTTACCTGCACACCAGTCAGAGAAAATGTGACTTAATTTGCTGCAGAATCCCCAGGATGTCTCATTTTGTGTGTCGTGTCCCCCAGAGGAGTTCTCCCGGGTCAGAGAGGAGGTGCCCCTGGAGCTGGTGGAGGCCCACGTGAAGAAGGTGCAGGAAGCAGCTCGAGCCTCTGGGAAGGTGGATCCCACCTATGGGCTGGAGAGCAGCTGCATTGCAGGCACGGGCCCTGAGGAGCCTGAGAAGATGGGTGAGTGCTGCATCCCCTCCTGAGAAACCCCAAATTCTCCTCCTCCAGCAGGAGATGGAAGTTGTGGGCAGGGAGAAGGGGATGGCTCATTCTGCTCACAGCAGGATTGACTCGGACACTGAACTAAGGATTTTAGGGCTACCTTGAGTTCTAGGAGTTTGTTCTCCTGCTCTCACTGTGGGGAAATGCTGTGGCTTGGGGTGCACAGAGTGGGCTGACCAAAAATACCAGAGCAGGATATTCTGTTGGTTGGGTGTTGGAGAATTCAAGGCAAAATGATAGTCATGGAGTTCTTGCATAGAAAGCTGTGCAAGACCTTCAAGACTAAATTTAGTATTAATTCTGCTAAAGTAATGCAATTAATTTGTATTATTAATACAAATCTGTTGTCTCCTTATGGTACTGTGCATTTAGCTACGGTTTTGTTTCTGCCTTTGTGGTGTTTAAGCAAGCAGGGGAGTTTGGGCAGTGGGTTTAGGGTGGATCTGGTACTCTGAGTGTGCTGCTCACTGTGGAGGCAGCAGCTGAGACATTTCTGATGGAGTGCTGGACTGGCACATGATAATCCAGCCCTGGCTCTGGTTGGGCTAGAATTCTGCTGGGCTTTACCTGTGTGTGTTAACAAGCTCTGGTTTAATTTCTGTGGTGTTCAGCAAATATTCTGCTATTAAGTCTCTCCTCTGAAACCCTGCCTGGTGCAGATTGGTTCCTGATTGCTCTGGAGTGTCAGAGCAGCTCTCTGGGCAGTGAAGCTGTGTGTGCCCCTCTCTGTTGGCTCTGCCCAGCAGGAGGAGCAGACTCTGTTTACTCCATCCCCAGGGCTTTTGCTCTCCTGGTTTGGTTACAGATCCACAATCTTGTCACTGCTGCTTTCTCTCAGCCCTGTTGGCTCCTGCTTTGTTCAGCTTACCACAAGTGATTTCAGTGACTGGACGTGAGCAGGCACGTCTGGCTCTGGGTGAAGCTGAGCAGGATGAGATGGAGCCTGACGGGGAGGCTGGTTTGGGATGTGCTCCTGCCCTGCAGAGCTCCCTGCTGTCACCCTGTGCAGGGACACGAGCAAGGTGCCAGATTGTGGGATGGCATCACGAGGGGCTGTGCTCGCTGCTCCTCGCTTATCCACTGCTGCCCACAGAGGGCTGCTATTTATGGCTCCTAATGGCCACTGCAGAACTACCCAGTAAATCAGATTGCAAAATGCCACTTAAATCACCAAGATAGTTTTTAATTAGGAAAGAAGCAAACAAACCACTCAGCCCTGCTGTCACACATCTCTGTTGTGCACTCAGCGGGACAGACTTGCCATGAGGCAGCTCGGTGCTTTGGGATGGTGGGCATTGTGTGCTGGAAGGGAAGAGAAACATCTGGAACATCTGCTGCTTCTGTTCCTCAGAGCTGACAGCAGGCATTGAAGCCATGCTGGAAGGACAAGCTTTGGGTTTATTTACAAGTCAGCTATAAACCAAATCTCCGTGTTACTCCATCTGGGGCTGAGTTTAATTTCATAGCTGTTTTAAAATAAGGTCAGCTTAAGTTAAATTTTTCTTCCAGTCTTTGTTCCTCTTTCCCATATTCTCCCAGTGTCACTGTGGGTTGTTAAGGATCATTTCAGTTGGAAAAGCCCTCCAAGATCACAGAGTCCCAGCTGTGCCTGGTCCCCACCTTGTCCCCAGCCCTGAGCACTCAGTGCCACCTCCAGCCCTTCTGGGACACCTCGAGGGATTGGGACTCCAAACCTCCCTGGGGAGCCCCTTCCAATATTTAACAACCCTTTCCACGAAGGAATTCCTGCTGATGTGCACCCTGAGCCTCCCCTGGCCCATCCTGAGGCCGTTCCCTCCTGTCCTGAATGTGTAACACATTTGCTCTTGGACTTTTCCCCGTTTCCAGGCTGCAGGTTGGCCCTTGGTGGCCCTTTGTGTGGGCCCAGGCTGGCAGGGGGGTGCGAGGTGCCCGTCAGTGGCTCTGGGGCTCCCGGGGCAGGTTGGCTCTGTGTGTGGGCCCAGGCTGGCAGGGGGGTGCGAGGTGCCCGTCAGTGGCTCTGGGGCTCCCGGGGCAGGTTGGCCCTTGGTGGCCCTTTGTGTGGGCCCAGGCTGGCAGGGGGTGCGAGGTGCCCGTCAGTGGCTCTGGGGCTCCCGGGGCAGGTTGGCCCTTGGTGGCCCTTTGTGTGGGCCCAGGCTGGCAGGGGGTGTGAGGTGCCCGTCAGTGGCTCTGGGGCTCCCGGGGCAGTGCCAGCCCAGCAGCTCTGGGTGAGCAGTGAGGGGAGCTGGGCCCGGCCCCACGGCGTTAATGCGATTTGTGCTGGGCTGTGACTAATGGAGTAAATTAGGGCAGGAGCAGATGGCTCTCCCTGGGGGAGCTGCTCAGCCCGAGTGAACTGGGTCACTCAGCAAGCTGTGGTGCCTCCCACCCCCCGGAGCTGGGCACAGGGACCCCCGGTGTCCGTGCACAGGTTGTGCCATGGGCTGGGGCTGTGCTCGGACACTGGGGTTTGTACCCCAGAGCTGGGCAGGGCTGGGAACACCTGCTGGGGCTTCCAGGTGGGAATGAAAGCCCACTGGCTGTTAGACTGGCATGGAATGAAAGGGTGCTGGGCTGGGAGGGACCTCGGGGATCACTCAGTGCCCGCCCTGCATGGCAGGGACACCTCCACTGTCCCAGGTGAGCCCCATCCAGCCTGGCCTTGGGCACTGCCAGGGATCCAGGGGCACCACAGCTGCTCTGGGAAATCTGTTCCAGTCCCTCCTCACCCTCCCAGGGAACAGTTCCTTCCCAATATCCAGTCTAACCCTGCCCTCTTTCTCTTCAAAGCCATTCTCTGTGTTCTGTCCCTTCATCCATTCTGTGATGGAACCACAGAATGCTGGTTTTATACTTAAATGCAACCATGGCTGCAGTGCAATTATCTGCCTAAGGTTCCATACTAGAATTAAAGTTCATTAGTTGATATATTTCAAAAGTAAAATTATATCAGAGCTCCATAATAATTTTAAAACTATTTAATATCAGTGAATTATAGTCAATATGGAATGTGAAAAGCGAAAATGACTGGAACAGATTGGAGAAGCTTAAGTTAATACCCAAGAATCTCCTCTTCTAAGTCTTCATTGTTAGGTTTTCTAAGAGCTGGTGATAATTCCTTTTAAGTTGATAAAGTGAGGCTTCAGTGGAGTTGGGAGGGGACTGGAGTGGTTCAGATGCTGTGGTGAGTGTGGTGGGCTCTGTCTCCTGCTTTCATAGGGTCACAGAAAGGTTTGGGTTGGAAGGACCCTAAAGCCCACCCAGTGCCACCCCTGCCATGGCAGGGACACCTCCACTGTCCCAGGTGCTCCCAGCCCTGTCCAGCCTGGCCTGGGCACTGCCAGGGATCCAGGGGCAGCCACAGCTGCTCTGCACAATCTGCTCCAAGGTTTTAGAACAGTCCCCCACAGTAAATACCAATAAATACCAAGAGCTTTCTGACTGCTGCCCCAGTGCAGGAAGGCTGTGGAAGGAATGACTGGGGCTGCTCTGCAGCTGTGACAGTGACAATGGCCCGAGGGGAGCCAGGGAGGGTCCCCTCTTTGGGCAGAGGAGCAAGGGAGGATTCAGCGCTTTGGGCAAAGGAGCAAAGGAGGATTCAGCGCTTTGGGCAAAGGAGCAAAGGAGGATCCCCTCTTTGGGCTGGGATTCAGCTCCAGAGAAGGGGAATATCCAGCACACCTGTGGTGATTAATAATTTCTAGGAAGTCTTTGTTCATGGTTAATGACACTGATTTCTCAGGGCAGCCTCTGCAGGGGCTGTGCTGGAGGTACCTGAGCATTTCAGGTCTCAGTCCCACAGGAATTTCCACTGACCCCATCCTGGGGGCCTCAGCTGGAGCTGCTCTGTGCCACGGGGTGAGGGGCTGTGGTTGGATTTCCTGCATCCCAACACCAGTAAATGGTGTCAGGAGAGGGTTACATTCACCATTTTGGGCACGGGTTTGAGTCATTCCCAAACACACACACACACACACACTCTCTAGAAAACCACACACAAGGAGAGCACACACACCCAGTTATTTTAGTCATGTTTGGCAGGGAGATTCCTCTGCTGCTCTCCAGGGTGATGGAAACATTCCTAAACCAATAGATTCCAGAGTGCCAATAATATGATAATAATTATAATAATATAATATAGTACAAATATTATAATATAATAATAGTATAGCTTTGAGTGTGTCCCAAGGGCTGGGTCTGCACCCCCAGGGGTTGAGCCCATCACTCCTCACCTGCTGAATCCTGTGGCTCTCACAGGAGCTGCTGTGGCTTTCCCAGCTCCCCCAGAGCATTCCCAGCTCCCCAGGCTTGCCCTGGAGCCCCCCTGTTGCTGAGCCCCCAGGCTGTGCGAGGCAGGAGCTCTGCTGGCTGTGCAGCCCTGATTTATGGTGGGAAATGCAAATGATGGTTTAGATAACAGCATCATTATCATAGCCAGGGCTGGGATGTTTCCTCAGCTATCGTGGATTTCCTCTCCATTAAATATTCATGTCCCAGCCTGGCTGTGACAGGCTGTATGTTGCCTCAGTGAGAGCAGGGAGTCTGGGCTGTCTGGAGGGCATCTTAAACTGTTTGCAGAGCTGCAGCTCAGGCAGGTGACTCCACTGCTGTTTGCAGAGCTTTGTTTGCTCCTCTCACTGCAGCAGAGGCTCCGGATCTGCTGCTCCTGCATCTCTCTGGTAACACAGGAAGCTCTTAGCAGGGAGGTGTTTCACAGGTTTCCCTGCTGACCTGAAGTCCATTTGAGTTCTCTGTACAGTCACTGGCTTGGGCAGAACTCAGCTCTGAGTTAGTAAAAAGGGCTCAGTGTTCTTGGAGATAGTGTGAAAAATGGAATAAAATTCCATAGAAACAGAACAGCTGCTGGTTCAGGTGGAAAGAGGGGCTTGGAGAGGTGATGATTCCTCATCTCCCACTGGATTTTCCCTCTTGAGAGCTGTCCTGGGGTGGCTCACAACCATCTGCCTCTTCCTGACCTGAGAAATGTCCTTTCATTCAGGGAACAGGGACAGGAGGAGAGGGAGCAGCCTCAGGATGTGCCAGGGGAGGCTCAGGGTGGACACAGCAGCAATTCCTTCATGGAAAGGTTGTTAAATATTGGCAGGGGCTGCCCAGGGAGGTTTGGAGTGCCCATCCCTGGAGGTGTCCCAGGAAGGGCTGCGGTGGCACTGAGTGCTCTGGGCTGGGGACAAGGTGGGCACTGGCACAGGGTGGACTCCATGGTCTCAGAGGTGAATTCCAGCTTTAGTAATGCTGGGATTCTGTGATCCCCGATTCCCACACCCTGCAAGGTGCACTATCAACCCTGCTGAACAGAGTTCAGGAGCATCTTTGGGGCAGGGGAAGGGATTTCAGGAGCTCTCCTTAAAGTCAAGGCTTCCCCTTTGTCCCAGGCTGGTCAATTCCTCTGGGATGTATTTTCAATAAGCTCATTAGATCATACAAGAAAATCAGTGCAGTTGTGTTTGTGTCTGTGCCAGGGCCAGAGGCAGTTCTGCCATGGCTGTGCAGAAGGTCAGGCATGTTTGGGGCTTTGTGTCATACCAGACTCTACTGTTTTGAGGAATTCTTCATGGAGAGGGTGTTAAATATCAGAAGGGGCTGCCCAGGGAGGTGTGGAGTGCAGAGTGGCACTCAGTGCTCTGGGCTGGGGACAAGGTGGGGATCAGGCACAGCTTGGCCTCCTTGGTCCTGGAGGTCTTTTCCAACCTCAGTGACCCTGGGATCCTTTGAGCAGCCTGTGGTTTAGAGCCAAACCTGCTTCCAGCCAGGCTAACTCATTTCCCCCAGACTGACAATGGATAACTGAAGCTGTTGTCCCGTGTGTCCCACCCTGGCACCTGGTGGCCCTGGGAGCTGCTGTCACTGTGCTGTCACTGCCTGTCAGGGCTCTGCAGCTGATGCAGGAAAACGCTTTTCAAAACCCATTGACCACAACCTGTGTGAAGCTGTCAGCCTCATTTCAACCTCACACGTGCTGCTGCAGCCAGGAGCAGAGGAGGGAGGATGTTGGAATAATCAGGATGTTGGAATAATCTTGGTGTCACACGTCCCTTCCTTCCAGGTGTCCCTGGGCTTGGGAAGGAGCACCTGGGTTTGGGTGGTGTCCATCAGTGTGTCCTGACACCCAGGAGGATCTGAGGGCACTTGGAGATGCTCTGTGTGCTTTTCCTTGAGAAAATCCTCCCTGAAGAGTGGCTGGGAAGCAGTTTGTCTTTGTGGGATGTCCTGTTTGTTTGGAGCCCCTACCTGATAGGGGGGTCAGGCTCTGCTCCCAGGGAACAGGGACAGGAGGAAACAGCCTCAGGCTGGGCCAGGGGAGGACCCCAGGGGGAATCTCCCCATGGGAAGGGTGCTCAGGCCTTGGAACTGCCCAGGGGGGTTTGGAGTGCCCATCCCTGGAGGTGCCCAAGGAATTCCTGGAGGTGGCACTCAGAGCTCTGGGCTGGGGACAAGGTGGGCTCACTGGGCTGGGAGGGCTTTTCCAGCCTCAGGGATCCTGGCATCCTGTGCATTTCTCCACAGCAGCAGCAGCATCAGTCCCTCAGCAGCTCCCATGGTGCATGGAGGGGTCTCCCCTGGATCCCTGGAGTGTCCCAGGCCAGGTTGGAGGGGCTTGGGGCACCCCAGGACAGTGGGAGGGTGTCCCTGCCATGGCAGGGTGGCACTGGATGATCTCAGTGATCCTCCCCACCCAAGAATGTAAATTTAGGTATTTCTATGCAGTATTTTTTTGTTTGAGTTCCACCTGGCTGGGCACGCTCAGTGTGTTCTGCGCTTTGTCTCCCCTTTTTTGTCTCAAAGGATTGAATCCAGCTTTCTTTGTGAGCCCTTCCCTTTCCTGGAGGAATGACACTTCCCAGCCCAGCCTGGAACTCTGCTCCTAGGCTTGAAAGAGCTGTCTGACAAAATCTAATCGAGATTTTCCCTGTGACATTATTGGGTCACTAAATCCTTACTCTGAGATAAAACCTGTGAGGGAGAACGTCCCCAGCCTCCCTAAATTGAATTATGGTGGCAGATAGTTCAGATAAGGGGGTTTATCATCTTAAAATAGGCCAAGAGGAAAACCATTACCCTTCAGTCAGACATTTTAGTTGGTTTTTCTTATATATGGAAAGGACTTGTGTACAAATTTCTCTACAGAGCTGTTGCTGTTCAAGAAGAACACTTTGTACCTTGTTTTTCTCAGTGTAGCACACAGGAATTAGCAGGAAAATGAGGATTACTGAAAATGAACCCCCAGCACCAGCTGATGTCTTCAGAAGCTTAGAGATGGATCAGGGCTTGTCACCAGCAGTTCTGCATCACCCCAGTCCAGGATCTAAATAAGCTCCTTTAATGCCTCTAGATAAATGGTGAAATCCTTGGCCAGGACCATGAGCTTGTGCTTCCTCTTGTCTCTCCTTGTAGAGCTGTGGATAAATTAGGATTCCTTGAACTTCTAAACAGTCTCACGAAATATTCTAGATTCTAGAACATTATGCAGGCACCTCCATGGTGTTTCCATGGCTGGCTGTTATCCCCTGATCTCCAGAACCAGCTGTCATTACAGGAACATTTTAAATCAGTGTTTTGTAAAGCAATAAATGAATTTCCAGGGGCTGTGTCCTGAGCACAGGATGCACTCCCAGCTCTCCCAGCACTCCTGCTATGAGGTGCACCCATCCAGCACCTGGAACAGAGACTCCTTAACCATCATCTTTATTATTCCTTCTTCTGTCCTCGTGTTGGTCTCACTTTAACACCAGTTGGGCTTTATCTGGTCTGGTTTAGGGCTGGGGGGGTGGAAGTGCCCCAGGGCAGGGTTGGAGCAGCCTGGGCTGTGGCAGTTCTGTGCTGGCCCTTTCCTGAAGCCACTGGTGGAGAGCAGCAGGTTTTTAGGATTGGGGGCAATCCCGAAACCCTAAACCCTCCCTGTTTGTTTCTCAGATGGAGCTGAGGAGGAGAAGATGGAAACGGAGGCAGAGGGGCAGCCAGCAGAGAAGGTGAGTTTGGGGCTGTGGGCAGGAGGCTCCTGGCCCTTAAACCCTGAATCCAGGAGTTTTGGGGTGCTGTGGCACAGGTGGCAGCTGTGACAGTGTGTGTCTCCTCCTGGCCCTTAAACCCTGAATCCAGGAGTTTTGGGGTGCCTGTGGCACAGGTGACAGTCTGTGTCTGCTCCTGGCACTCAGATCCTGAATCCAGGAGTTTTGGGGTGCTGTGACACAGGTGGCAGCTGTGACAGTCTGTGTCTCCTCCTGGCCCTTAAACCCTGAATCCAGGAGTTTTGGGGTGCTGTGGCACAGGTGACAGTCTGTGTCTGCTCCTGGCACTCAGATCCTGAATCCAGGAGTTTTGGGGTGCTGTGGCACAGGTGACAGTCTGTGTCTGCTCCTGGCACTCAGATCCTGAATCCAGGAGTTTTGGGGTGCTGTGGCACAGGTGACAGTCTGTGTCTGCTCCTGGCACTCAGATCCTGAATCCAGGAGTTTTGGGGTGCCTGTGGCACAGGTGACAGCTGTGACAGTCTGTGTCTGCTCCTGGCACTCAGATGCAGAATCCAGGAGTTTTGGGGTGCTGTGGCACAGGTGACAGCTGTGACAGTCTGTGTCTGCTCCTGGCACTCAGATCCTGAATCCAGGAGTTTTGGGGTGCTGTGGCACAGTGGCAGCTGTGACAGTCTGTGTCTGCTCCTGGCACTCAGATCCTGAATCCAGGAGTTTTGGGGTGCCTGTGGCACAGTGGCAGCTGTGACAGTCTGTGTCTGCTCCTGGCACTCAGATCCTGAATCCAGGAGTTTTGGGGTGCTGTGGCACAGGTGGCAGCTGTGACAGTCTGCGTCTGCTCCTGGCACTCAGATCCTGAATCCAGGAGTTTTGGGGTGCCTGTGGCACAGTGGCAGCTGTGACAGTGTGTGTCCCCACAGGGACAGATCCCAGCCTGCACGGAGCTCCAGCTCAGAGCTGGGGTGTGGAGTGACAGCAGTGAGGGAGCAGGGGGGTTCTGGAAGGGACTGGGGACAGGGAATGCTGTGGGAACTGGGATTGCAGCTGCAGTGGGGGCACCCTGACCTGGGGGGCTCTGGGCAAATGCCTGCCCCAGACAGGACGTGCTGCCTTTGAAACACCCTCAGTTATTTCACTGCCCTTTCTGCCTGAGGGGCCTCCGGCTGAGCTGCTCCAGGAGAATCCTCCCCACAGCAATTCTGGGCTGGCCCTTGGGCATGGATGTGTTTGTGGTGCTGGGGGTGATCCACCCTGCCCATAAAGATCACTGATTATCATTATCCTTCAGCCTGTTGGTAATGACCACAGGAACACGTTTGTGGCTTTTTCATAAGCTGTGTCCACAGACAGGCACCTCACACTGCACTGGGTGGTTCAGACATGAGCTGGGATTAAACCAGCAATTCCAGGATACCAGTTTAGTTACTGCTAAATTACTCTAATATTTAAATTATTACTATTTTATTTGTTTATGTATTAATATAATTATGTTTAATATGTATTTTAATAAAATGACTATTTTAATTATATATGTAAATTTAATTTTTAAATTTTTGTTTGTTTATTATTTAATTCCTGCTGCATTCCTGACAAATAAATGGAGATGGTTTTTTCTGGAGTCTGCAGCAACAGGAGATATTTCTTGTTGCCTCCTTCAGCTGATGAGGAGTTCAGACTAATTGGGGCTGATCAGTGCAGCCTTGGGGTTATTTCCCACTCTGTTTTCAGGTGGTTCTGCCTCCCTGATCAACAGGGGCATTTGGGAAGAGAAAAGTGGGGAACACTCACTCAGGGCTTGGAAATCTGCATGTTCCCAGACATCCCATGATTCAGTGATCTTAGTTCAGGAGTTTTTGTGCCCACAGAGTAACCCAGCTTGGCCTGGGTCACTGTTCTTGGCCCAGTTTGCATTTACTTTTATTCACATTTTGGGTTTGTCTGTCAAATTTGGCTCAGGCAGCAGCCACCCTTTAAAATGTAACCCTTTCCAGTGTGGTAAGGAATTCATGGGAAGGCCATCCCTAGAGTTAACAGTGAGTATTTCCTCTCCCTGCCTGTCCCCCACTGCCATCCCCTCAGGTGGAGAGCAAAGCCGAGAGCGAGCCTGAGGAAGGGGAGAAGGTTCCGGAAGGGGAGAGCGAGCGCAGCGTGGACAAGGAGCCCGAGAGCGAGGGGGCTGCAGAGCCCAAGACAGGTGAGGAGAGCTGTCCCTGCTGCCCAGCTCCTCCCCAGAGGGCTTGGACAGCCCGGTCCAGCTGGGAACCTTCCCCTTCCCCTTCCCCTTCCCCTTTGGTGCTCTGTGCCCACAGAGGTTCCCCTGAGCCTCCCTGCAGGGCTCGGGCACCAAATCCCTCCCTGAGCGCCCCAGCCCTGGGCATGGAGGAGGAGCTGCAGCCCCCAAGTGCCTGTGGGTCATAGCAAGGGGGGGGTTGCCCAAATTCCACAACATCTGAGCATTTTGGATGCAAGGAAGTGATTGGAGCTGCTGGAGGTGTTAAAGGTTGGACAGGGCTGGGAGCAGCCTGGGGCAGGGGAAGGTGTCTCTGGTGGCACTGGATGGGCTTTGAGGTCCCTTCCAACCCAACCATTCTGGCATTCTCTGCTCATTTCTCCTATTGGAAGTTAATACTTCAGCTCCGTTTCCCTGGGTAGTGATGCAGAACCTGGATTTTGACAGGCTGAGGAGTAATAACATCTACATAAAACCTTATTCTTTTTGTCATATCCCCTGTGTCTCCTAAAGTCATGGAATGATTTGGGTTGGAGGGACCTTAAGGATCATCCAGTGCCACCTCTGCCATGGCAGGGACACCTTCCACCATCCCAGGGTGCTCCCAGCCTGGCTTTGGACACTCCAGGGATGGGAATGGATATATTGCTTTTTTCCTGCAATCCAGGATTCAGGATTTTAGCCCCATGTACCATGAGGAGTGCTTGGATTTGATGGAGTTGATGTGGAAATGATGAGGGAGAGCTGATGGCAGGTGCTGAACTGAGAGGATGGGAATGAAAAGCATTTAATGTTGCCCCATTTGTTGGATCAGATCCTCTCGAACTGGGGTTCCCCTGTCAGCATTTGGATGGGGATGAGTTAATTAGTGCCTGACTAATTAGTGTGGTGCCATCCTGGGCGCACGTGTAACGGCCTGGGCTGGGTGTCTTGCAGAGGAAAAGGAGGCAGAGGAGAACAAGGAGAACGTTGATGGCAGCAAGGACAAAGAGGCTGAGGCTGGCAAGAAGAAAGTGGAGCACGAGATCTCGGAAGGAAACGTGGCCACAGCTGCAGCTGCTGCCCTGGCCTCTGCTGCCACCAAGGCCAAGGTTGGTGCTGTGCCAGCAGCCTGGGCCTGCAGGGCCAGCCTGCAGTGCTCCTGGCTCCCAGGGCTCACCCTCTGATCCCTGACCCCTCACAGGAGCACCGGTGCTGCCTGCCTCAGCCCCCGGGGGAGATAATGAACAGGGGTAATTAAGCAGCTCCTGGGTGATTATGAACTGGTTGAGCATCCCTAAGGAATAACCCCTAATGGGGTCTGGGTGGTGCTGGGGGGCACAAACCCTCGGATGGCCTCTCCTGCTGCCCCAGGGCTCCACTCCAACCCCTGGGGCAGCCACAGGGGGATGTTCCCTCCTGGCACCGCAGCTTTCAGGCACCTTAATGATCCTGTGTTGTGCTAAAGGCACGTTGGTGTGTCCCCCAAATCCTGTTTGTGTGTGGTCTCTAATGAGCTGTGTCGAATCAGCTTTTCTTTACCCTGTAATTACTAATTGCACGTTGTCTTGCCTTTCCTTTTGCAGGAGCCACACTGCTTTCATTGCTTTTAGAGTATCTTTCTCAAATCTGTTTTCTCTTTACAAATCTCTCTGGATTCAAGTTTTAATTTGGGTTTTTTAATCGCTCTTGGATTCAGTATCACATTGCACCTGCTTCATAAAACCAAGAGCAAGGCTTGGGTGTTTATTCCTGATGGATTTCCATGGCTTGAATGAGGTGTTGTGTGTTCTATTAACTTTTCCACTCTGATCTTTGACTCTTTAACGTCAGACTTCTTCCCCAGCTGCATCCCCCAGGCTGGTGGGTGATGTCCTGTGCAGTCCCCCCTCCTGACCCAGGAGATGGAGGATGTTTCAGTTCTTACCTTTCAAACCAGGCTGTGAAATCCCACATGGCAGACAGCTCCCTGTCCATTCAAATCCCCACCTGCAGCAAAGCTGATGTTCGGTGTTTTGGTGAAGTGCAGAGCCCAGAGTGGCTCTCAGTTCATCAGACCCACAGATATCCTCAGCCAGGTTGGGAAAGCTGTGTCTGTGTGAGGAGACACGAGGTTTAATCCGTGTTTTATGGAAGGCCACTTGCTCCATTTTTCTGGAGATGAGGAGTTGGAGGGAGCAGGGCCTGGCTGATGGCACTTTTCATTATGGCAGTGATAATGTTCTGGAAGAGCTTCAGCTTCCCATTGCAGGGAGTAATGCATTGTAATTAGGAGGCTGACACTTCAGATGGAATTCAGGTTCTGCAGGGACTTCTCTTCCCACTCCCTTAAAAAGCCAGACAATATTGGAGCCTTGGGTGGTCTGTGGCTGAGGGAGAAATTAAACTCTTCATCATAAACTCTGGGCCTGCTCATGTGAAAAGCTGTTTTCCTTAGGATTTCATATCAGAGCAATATTGCAGATGGATTCTGAGTGAAGATGGGGGTTAAAGGCAAGGGATTGAAATGGGGATTAAATACGAGGGATTGAAAGGGGGGGGTTGTTTGTTTGGGGTTTTTTCCCTTGTTATTGTTTTTTGGGGGGGGTTGTTTTGTTTTGTTTTGTTTTTGAGATCAGTGGCTTCCAGAAGTTGAGTTGTGCTGTTTGAGGAATGGTGAACATGAATGTTCAGGGTGAGACTCTGCATTTCACACAGACCAACAACTGAAATGTTTGCACAGGTTCTGGTTTCTGAACAAACAGCATTAGCATTTAAGTCCCTTCTGCTTATTTTCCCCTCAATGGACACCCAATGTGAGCTGGTTTTTCCTTTCTGTGCAGAAATATCCCTGATGGCTCCTGCTCTGCTCCAGCTGGGACTGCGCTGCAGAGCTCTGCTCTTGGTCCATCTCTTCCCTTCCCAGAGCTGTCCTGGTCCCAGTTTCACCTCTGACAAACACTGATCTCGTGGCCTCCCCAAATCCCAACCAAATGTTAGAGGTGCCTGGCACTGGAGAGACCATTCCTGGGAGCTGCTGATCCCAGTGGGGCTCCAGGAGAGCTGCAGAGGGACAGGGGATGAAGGGACAGCACACAGGGAATGGCTCCCACTGCCAGAGGGCAGGGATGGATGGGAGAGTGGGAATTCCTGGCTGGGATGGAATTCCCAGAGCAGCTGTGGCTGCCCTGGATCCCTGGCAGTGCCCAAGGCCAGGCTGGATCACCCTGGGACAGTGGGAGGTGTCCCTGCCATGGCAGGGGTCGCACTGGGATGATCCTCAAGGTCCCTTCCCACCAAACCATTCATGCATTCCATGATTCTTTTTTGTATAATCATTCAGGCTGGAAAAGCCCTTTAGGATCACTTGCTCATTTCTGACTCCAGGCTGGTGCAGTGATGGGTTTGTCAGGCATTTCAGATTACCCCTGAATTTGTGTTCCTGGTTTTCCTCAGCTGCAGCTGCAGGGATTTGTCCTTTGCCCATGGAAGCCCTGGGTAGTGCCAGGCTGAGCCTCTTTGAGTCTGTCTAGGAAAAGCTTCAGGGATAATTTCCTTTCCAAGGTGTATTTGGAGACCTGTCCTTTACCTAATCATGTGCTTTGATCAGGTGTTCATCCCATTTCATTATTAAAATTGCACATGTGAAACAGGGTGAAATGTTTGGTAGAGGACTGTGTATCCCCAGGTGATTCCCTCACTCTGAATTTTCATACAAATGAGTTTATTTTCCTGAACGGTGTCATTTAATGTGAAATTTCCTGTTCTGTCAGCTTGGTTTCATTATTTTGTGTGCAGCACTTTGGTCAGTTTTGGAGCAGCTGCTGGAATTTCTCAGTGGTGTTGGATGAGCTTGGGGTCACTCTGGTTCTCTCAGACGTGATTTGAAATTCACTTTGGAGAGTCAGGAGTGCGTTTGCCCACATTTACTGAGCCCTCCCTCCCTGCTGCTGGCTCAGGAGGTGAACGTTGTCAATGGCACGGTGTCGCACGGGTTCGAGGAATTCGGATTGTGCTCAGGGTTCCAGGGAGGTTTCTGATGCTGCTTTCCCCACTCTGTGTTTGTCCCACTTTGGGGCCCGGCTCCCTCAGCAGGGTCTGTTTGCAGCTGGAGCTGGATGAGCTCCAGCTTCTCCTTGTTCCCAGATTCTCCTTGTTCCCTGCTCCCCCAGCCCTGGGCTGTGTCCTGTGGCACATCTGTGAGCACACAGCCCCCCAGTCTCCATCTCAGGGGCTTCTCCTGCTGAGCTCAGGTTTAACAGGAACAGGGAGAGGCACCACGAGCACCCTTGTCACACTCTGGGGGTGTGAAACACTCCCATGGCTGCCTCATGCCTCAGATATAGATGCACAGATCTCTGCTGTTATTTATGTGTGGATATAAATGGCACGAAGCTAATCCTTATAAAAATCAATTTGCCTTCTGCTTGAGAAAAATCTATTTTAATGGCAAGGACATGGCAGTGCCACCTCCCTGGTTTGGGGTCGTTCTGGGTCACAGGCTCCTGTGTGTGTCCTGCTGGGAGCTTTTTGGGTGACCCTCAGCTGACTCCTCTGACAAATCCCTTCCTTCTCCCTCGTTTGCATTCCCACTGGAATGGGAAAGCTCTGAGCATCCTCCACACCTCTTGTATGAAACCTTCGCACCTTTTATTTGATTAATCATCTTCAAGGGCCTCTGGTTCCCAGTACAAGATTTATGATCTAATTCCCTGTTTCCTGACAGAGGTGGAGCAGGAGGGCTGGAGCTGGCAGGTTCCCTCCCTGCCAGCCCCTTCCTGTGCCCAGGGTCACACAGCACCCCCTGTGTTTCATCCCCAGCACCTGGCAGCTGTGGAGGAGAGGAAGATCAAGTCCCTGGTGGCCCTGCTGGTGGAGACTCAGATGAAGAAGCTGGAGATAAAGCTTCGCCACTTTGAGGAGCTGGAAACCATCATGGACCGCGAGAAGGAGGCAGTAAGTGAAACTGGGGATCAAATCTCTCCCTGCAAGTTCTGTGTGCCAGCACCTGGAGCAGCAGCAGCTCCTCCCCTCCCCTCTCCTTTGTGCCCCTCAGCTGGAGCCCACCATTCCCTCCCACAGTGGCACCCGAGCCCTGCTCCATCCAGTGCTTCTCTGGTCCATTAGCAGCTTCAGGAGAGGGGAAGGGAGTGAGGTCAGGACATGGAGAGGAGCTGTCTGGGCCTGGATTACCCAGGAATTACCAGCAGTTGTGTCTCATGCAGTGCCAGAGGCTTTGGAGAAGTGTTTCGTCTGCAGCTGCTTGAAAGATCACTCCAAATCTCATTTTTTATCAAAATCTCATTTTTATCAGTTTTTAATTTCTTTTTTCTGTGTGTAGCTGCCTCATTGTTGTGAGTAGAGTGTTACTATGGGTGGCTTGAAGATTCAATCTGGGTTATGTTGATTCCTAATTGCAGGGATTTCTGCATTTGCCCTTCTGTGTGAATTTAATGGAATTACAGCCCCATTTGGCATTCATGGAAAGGGCACCAGGTCCAACTCCTGCTCCTCACAGCACCCAAAACTCAGCCAGGTGAGCAGGAGCGTCCTGCAGGCATTCCCTGAGCCCTGCCAGGCCTGATGCCATGGTCACAGCCATGCAGAACCTTCTCCAATCCAGAGTTCCCCTAATCACACTGATGGAGTCTGACAAGATGTGGACTCCTCTTGGAGCAGGATGTCAGCAGGAATTTCTGGATTGCTCCACATCCTCCAGTGTTTCAGTCTGTGTTTGAGTGGCAGCTCAGGAAATGGACCCAGCTCTTTTGGAAAGGTTCCCTGCAGATTCTTTCTTTGGGGGATATATTCCATTAGTGACAGGGAGGGTTTTTTTCCTCCCTTTTGAGGCATATGACATTTCCCTTTTTAAAAATGTGCATACAGATTTTCCCCTTGGCTTCCTGGTGGTTAAATTCGCTCTTTTCACCTGTCATTGTGGATATTTAGTGGAATAATTAAAGCAGCAAAGCCTCCTTGGTGCCAGTGCACCCTGGGCCTGTCACTCCTGCTGCCCTGGCTTTCCTTGCAGGGAGGGAGCAGGGCTGGGGTGCTGACAGGAGCCGGTGCTGCAGCCTGCAGGGCGTAACATCTCAGGCAAAACTCATTTATTGTGTTTGTGTTGGAGCTGAGCAGTGTCAGCAGTGCCACTGCTGACTGTGGGAATCCAGGGCATTGTTGGTGGGGCTTGGCCCACCACAATTTCTACTGGCACCTGAAGCTTTGCTGGTTCTGTCCAGGGAGGAATTCCTGAATCCCTGAGGGTGGAAAAGCCCTCCCAGCCCATAGAGTCCAACCTGTGTGAGATGGTGTTCACAGGGGTTCTTGAGTGAGGGAAGAGATGAGGATCTGACTCCATGCTTCAAAGGCTTGATTTATTATTTTATGATATATATTACATTAAAACTGTACTAAAAGAATAGAAGAAAGGATTTCATCAGAAGGCCGGCTAAGAATAGAATAGCAAAGAATGATAACAAAGGTTTGTGGCTTGGCTCTTTGTCTGAGCCAGCTGGGCTGTGATTGGCCATTAATTACAAACATCCAACATGGACCAATCCCAGATGCACCTGGTGCATTCCACAGCAGCAGATAATCAATGTTTACATTTTGTTCCTGAGGCCTCTCAGCTTCTCAGGAGGAAAAATCCTAAGGAAAGGATTTCTCATAAAAGATGTCTGCGACACTTGTGCCCACCTTGTCCCCAGCCCAGAGCACTCAGTGCCAGCTCCATCCTTGGACACCTCCAGGGATGGGCACTCCAAACCTCTCTGGGCAGCCCCTGCCAAGGCCTGAGCCCCCTTTCCATGGGGAAATTTCCCCTGAAAGGAAGCTCTGTGCTGGAGGTGATGCTGTGGCACTGATTTGTTGTGTGAGTGGACATTAAGGGATTGCAGATACCCCTCCTGGTGCAGCACAGAAAGGGGTGTTGGATATTGTCATTGTCACCTGTGATACCCAGAGCCACCTCCCTCACTTCCAGCTGGTTTCCTGAGTTGGTTTTGTGGGGAGGCTCTGCAGGAGAGGGTCCAGCAGGGCCACAGGGATGTTCAGGGCTCTGGGGCATCTCTGATGAGCAGGGGCTGCAGGAGCTGGGCCTGCTCAGCCTGCACAAGGGCAGGCTCCCAGGGGATCCCATCAATGCGCACAAATCTCCCAAACTGTGCCAGGAGAAGGTGCCAGGCCCTGCTCAGTGACAGCACCAGGAGCAGCGGCACAAACCAAAGCACAGCAGCAGGAACAGCCTCTGTCCATGGAGGGGCAGAGCCTGGCACAGCTGCCATGGGGGCTGGGGTCTCCTCTCTGGAGCATCCCAAACCCCTCTGGGCACACCCAGGGACCCTGCCCTGCCCTGGGTGACATCCAGACCCTCCCAGCCCAGGCACTCCAGGTCTGGGGCAGAGCTGACCTTGATGAAGGCTCCCAGCCTTGTTCCTGCCTCATTCCTGCAGGAATGACTGAGGTGGGAGAGCAGCTGTGGGTCACTGATGGAGCTCCCACTGGAAATGTGTTATTTAAATGAGTTGTTTTAATGCCAGTGTGGGGAAACAGCTGGGGGCTGTGTGTGAGGTGGGACAGAGCCTGCTGCAGAACCAGGACTTTGGGTCTGCACTAGAGCCCAGGCTTAAGCTTGGCTCAGCTTTAGCACCAACTCAATTCTAACTTGTCTTTCTGTGCCTTTTTTCCTCTGTCCAGCTGTCTTCCCTTCTACACAATGCCTGTGCTTGGGATGAGGAAAGTTTTCCCTGCTTTTCCTCCTCCAGTGTGAATTTTCAGGCCCTGGCTGCTGTTTGGGCATCCTTGTAAAGGCTCTTTCAGACTGTAACGGGATGGGGTGCCACGAAGAGAGCAAAGCAGGGCCACAAAAGGGTCTCAAAGGAACAAAACAGCGCTGCCTGAGCCTTTGTTTGGGGTCATTTGCGGGAATTCCTCCCCCAGCTGTCTGCCGCCTCGGGAATGTTTCCCCACACACCCCATTTCCCCGGCGGGGAGGGTTTATGGGGAGCTTCCCTGAGCAGATGAGAGCAGAAAGGAGCCAGGGCAGCGTGAATGATGCCATTGTGGCCGGGAGGGCTCCCTGGCCGGCTCATGGTTAATTCATGAGCTCGGCCCAGCTGGGGCTGCTCAAAGGGCCTCTGTGAGCTGCCTGCCCTGCCCTGGCTGCCAGCACAGCTACTGAGCAGCCTGGGGAGTTTTGGAGAGCTCCTGCTAGGTGAGAGTCTCCTTGGCAACCTGCTTTCAGCTGAGCTGTGCAGCCCACCTTAAAGCACTCTGCAGTGTCTGTACCCGAGTCACGCAGCCCGGGCCGGCTGTCCGTGGACGTAACGCTGTATTATTGTTTATATTAGTGTCATAATGTGGGAATAATGGGTCAGCATTACTGAAATAAGTCAAACATCACTTCCTTCACCGGAGCCCTGCCCCATCACACAAATGCCCAGGGGTAGGAAATGCTTTCTGTAGCTTTTTTTGTCTTTTCATGGAGCCTCAGACTGGTTTGGGTTGGAGGGATCTTCTGGATCATCCAGCTCCACCCGGGGCAGGGGCACCTTCCCTAGGCCAGGCTGCTCAGGTCTCACTCTCTATGTGACTTCACAATTAATCAAATCAGACTATTTGATGTTAATTGGCCTGAATGACAAGAGCTTTATGTAAAAAACCTTATAATAATGCAAATCTGTGTCTGGCTGCTGTGACATCCAATTCCTGCATTCAGAGGATGGAGAAGGATCCCACCTGTGATCCCTGAAGCTCTTGCAGCTGCACACACCTCCTGCTTCAGCCTTCCCTAGAAAATCCCCTGGGGTTCCTGCTCTCCCTCATCCCAACATGCAGAAATGGAGAGGAAAACCCCCAGTTTCTCCCAGAGCTGAGCTCTCAGTGCAGAGCTCAGTGAGTAACGAGCTGTGCTGCTGAGAGGTTTTGGGACAGAACGAGGTGAGTTCATGTGTCCCAGCTAGAAAAAGCTGCAGAGCCTTTCCCAGAACCTGCTGCAAACATCCACAGGGCAGCAGCTCCTTTTGGGTTTGGTGGGGTTGGGACGAGAGGCTTCTTCCAACCCAACCCAACCCAACTCACTGATGGGCAGGAGCACGTTGGAAATGCACCATTGCTAACTCAGCTCTGCCCTCTGTCCTGTCCTGGCACAGCAGAGGCAGGAGATGTTTGAAATGCACCATTGCTAACTCAGCTCTGCCCTTTGTCCTGTCCTGGCACAGCTGGAGCAGCAGAGGCAGCAGCACAGCTGGAAATGGATCATTGTTAACCTCTGCCCTTTGTCCTGGCACAGCTGGAGCAGCAGAGGCAGGAGATGTTTGAAATGCACCATTGCTAACTCAGATCTGTCCTTTCCTGGCACAGCTGGAGCAGCAGAGGCAGGAGATGTTTGAAATGCACCATTGCTAACTCAGATCTGTCCTTTCCTGGCACAGCTGGAGCAGCAGAGGCAGCAGCTGCTCACTGAGAGGCAGAACTTCCACATGGAGCAGCTCAAGTACGCCGAGCTGAGGGCTCGCCAGCAAATGGAGCAGCAGCACAGCCAGAACCCCCAGCAGCCCCACCAGCAGCACCCCAGCGGGCCTGGCATCACCCCCCTGGGGGCACCAGCACACCCGGGGCTGCTGCCCCACCAGCAGCCCCCACCCTACCCCATGATGCACCACCAGATGCCACCTCCTCACCCACCTCAGCCAGGTAAGAGCTGGGAGCAGGGAAGGGCTGCCCTGAGCCTGAGCAGGGAGCCCAGGGGGGCAGGGGCTGCCCAGGGGGCTGTGGGTGCTCTGGGTTACTGGTTTGTAGTGGTGCCACTGTCACACACAGTTTGCTGCTGCAAAGATGAGCTTTGCACAGCTTTGTTATGGAGCTCCCATTCCAGATGTGGGGAGGAGGTGTTTAATGGAAGGGGGAACCCCAAAGATCAGGACTAGGGGAGTGCCGGGGTGGGAGGCAGTGGGCAGCAGCAGCAGAAATTCCTTCCAGCCACAGGAAAACACTTTTCTCCTTCAGGGACTCACCAGCCCCAGAGCAATTGTCCAGCAGGGCTGGGAGTCCCCTGCCTGGGACAGTCAGGCTCTAAAGTAAAGCGAAATGTGAAGCTGCCCCAAGCACTTCCAGGTGTTTTTAGGTTATTTGTATTTCCTTAGAGTTGTTTTATAATGGCTGATCTGAGCAGGTGCTCCTTCAAAAACAATCACTCCTCCAAATCTCCAGTTCGTGGCACACCAAATGTGCAGAAATTCAGGGAAAGGACTGGGAGGAGCAGCAGGGGCTCCTTAAGGGCCTTCTTTGGCAGGAGACCTGGCTGTGAGGGGTTCCTGTGTCCTGCCTGGATGGTTTGGTGTCAGGGAGGGTCAGAGGGGTCACCTGGAAGTCTCCAGTGCAGCCTGTCCTGCTGAGGGTTGGGTGTCTCCAGGGTGGGTACTCCTGGTTCCACAGCCTGGGGTGGTCAGGTGAGATGTGAATTGGCAGCTTTTGCTTGCTAAAGGTTGTTGAAATGGTAATTTAAAATCAAATAATGGTGCCTGGCATGTAGGAACCTGGCTGTGGGACTGGATACAGCCAAGGAGGAGCTTGACCAAAACCTGCTCCAGGAGAAAACCTGATCAGTTATTAGCTAAAAATATTTGGGAAGACTTTTCATAGGCAGCTGCTGAAGAAGCTGCAAAGTTTGGGTGTCATAATCCACATAGAACATGGCAACAAGAAGCTGCAGGAACTTGAGTTTTCCTCTTGAGGCAAAAAGCGTTTGGTTTGGGAGGGAGCAGAAGGGCTCAGGAAAACAGCAGGATCTGCAGGTGAGCAGGAAAATGGGAAGAATCTAATCCAATGGGTTTGCAGGGTAATCAGAGTGGGTTCCCTCAGCAGGGGCAGAGTTCTGGTGGCTGGTGGGGCTCAGGCTCACTCTGCTTTTAGGGCTCAGGGAGTTCCTGGGTTTACTGTGGACAAAAATCCCTGTTTGGGAGCTGGTGTGGTTTTTTCTGGAGTTAGATTGGGAGTGTGATAAAACAGGGTGTGGTTTTAGACTCAGATTTAACATCTGAGTCTGTTGTGGGCTGTGCACAGCTCAGGGCTGCTCCCATGAAGGAATAACCTGGGAAGGGAAAACAAATGGGAACAGAGGGAAGGAGGGAACCCTGGCACATCCACACACAGCTGTGGGGACTGGGGCAAGGTTAAAGCATTTGTTCATTGGTTAGAGTATTTGTTCACTGAGAGCTCCCCTGGCTGACACAGCCCTGTGTTACTGCAGCCCCTCGCAGCCCTCCAGGCTCTGCAGTCCCAGGGACAGGGAATGGCCTCTGCTCGTTAGCCACAACATCCCCCTTCCAGGTTTGATTAAAGCTGCTCAATAGATTGACTTTGCAGCAGCACCTCCCCTGGCTGAGGCTCAACTCTGCTGGCTCCCAGCAGCATCCAGAGCTGGGGTGCCATCTCATTCCTGGCCCCTAGGAATGTTTTCCTAACTCCTCTGACACTTCTCTGCTTTGATGCTCTTGTAAAGGGAAGAATTGAGGCCCACTCTAGGTTTGGAGCAAACCCCTCTGTGTCCCCAGGCAGAGCCCAGCTGGTCTTGCCTAGAAAGCACAGGAGGCTCCTTGCCTTGGGTTCTCCAGAGGAAGTTTGTTAGGAATTCCTGGGGTTAGGAAAGCCCAGGGGTGCCAGAGCTCCTTGGCTGCACAGCAGAGTTATTCCAGCTTGGGAGCATGGAGAGGAAATGGGAAACTGGTGAGCTTCAGCTTGGTCACCCCACACCTGTGAGTCTCCTGCAGCCTTTGTGGAGATCCCAAAATTTGGTGAGTGTGAGGAGATCATGGAGTCCTGCAATGGTTTGGGTTGGACCTTGAAAACCACCCAGTGCCACCCCTGCCATGGCAGGGACACCTTCCCTGTCCCAGGTGCTCCAAGCCCCAGTGTCCAGCCTGGCCCGGGACACTGCCAGGGATGGGGAGGAGAACCCCCAAACCCCTGAGGGTGATCCAGGGGCACCATGGAGCAGCTGGGCTGGGAATACCTGCCAGGTTTCACTGCAGACCTCACCCTGGTGCTCGGTGGTGGCTCCTGACAGGTTCTGAGCTCAGCAGCAGCTGCAGGGATGGTGGGAAGCAAAGGGAGGGAAGGATCTGAGATGGCATTGGAGAGGGAAGAGAGGAGGATAGATCCCTGCTCAGGGCAGAAGCAGTAAAGTCAAGCTCTTAACTAAGAGTTAAAAGTGAGGCTTTTCCCAGAAGTCTGATTTTAGCTCAGGTGTCAGTCTGGATGTGGTGGTGGAGAACATCTCCAGTGCTGGACCCATCTGGAGAACATCTCCAGCCAAGGGTCACCCACGTCTCCTTAGCATGGCTGTGTCTGGCTCTGCTGGACCATAGAATTCATTTTCCTTGAGCTTATTTATTCCTTTGCCCTGGAATGAAAACTTTTAGAATAGGAAAGCAGAGTTGGATTCCAATTTCACTGTGAAAAGCTGCTCCTTTTCATTGCAATAGGAAATCAATTCCCAGTTCCTTCCCATAGTACCAGTTTGGGCACTGCATTGATTTCCCTTCAAGCTCTGGGCTGGTGGTCAGTGGGATGAGAACTCCTGGTTCTGGTGACACCCATGGTGTGGAATGGGAGAAACTTCTGGAAATCCTTGGAGGAAGAGAGATAGCTGGGAATTAGTGGCTGTCATTGTTACCTCTTCCTTCAGGTGGGATTTTCAGCTGGTAAATCATTTCTGACCTAAGGCAGAAATGGAATGAGGAGGGCCGGATACGCTTCCCACCACAGCTGGATGACAGGATGAGCAACTTTAATAACTCTTCCCTGATAGATTTTATCTCATTTTCTGTCAATGGTTGAAATACTCAAAAAAAAAAAAAAAGACTTTGACAGGAATTTTGGGCTTGGGGTTTTTCAGCTGCTGAGCATTTCATTATTTGTGGGTTTAAATTGAGTTGCTGGATGCTATTTGCTTCCATATTGGACTGGTGATGATTCCAGGAGCTTTTTGGGTACAGAAAAGGATTTTGAGCTCAGTTCCTTTAGGTAAATATTCCCTGTCAGCTGTCAGTGCTTCCCATTTCTCCATCAGATGTGCAGAGCTTGCTGGGGAGGGGCAGGGAACAGTGGGATGAGAGGAGATCCAAGTCAGGGGTGGTGAAAGGGGCTGGAGCTGATCCTTGCAAGCAGGCTGTAATTTGGGATTGGAGCTGTCGGGGTGGTTGGTGACACTGACACCAGTGTAATTTGGGATTGGAGCTGTCAGGGTGGTTGGTGACACAGGAACAGACACCAGTGTAATTTGGGATGGGAGCTGTTGGGGTGGTTGGTGACACAGGAACACTGACACCAGTGTAATTTGGGATGGGAGCTGTCAGGGTGGTTGGTGACAGTGACACCAGTGTAATTTGGGATGGGAGCTGTCAGGGTGGTTGGTGACAGTGACACCAGTGTAATTTGGGATGGGAGCTGTCAGGGTGGTCGGTGACACTGACACCAGTGTAATTTGGGATGGGAGCTGTCAGGGTGGTCGGTGACACTGACACCAGTGTAATTTGGGATGGGAGCTGTCGGGGTGGTTGGTGACACTGACACCAGTGTAATTTGGGATGGGAGCTGTCGGGGTGGTTGGTGACACAGGAACAGTGACACCAGTGTAATTTGGGATGGGAGCTGTCGGGGTGGTTGGTGACACAGGAACAGTGACACCAGTGTAATTTGGGATGGGAGCTGTCGGGGTGGTTGGTGACACAGGAACAGTGACACCAGTGTAATTTGGGATGGGAGCTGTCGGGGTGGTTGGTGACACAGGAACAGTGACACCCGTGTAATTTGGGATGGGAGCTGTTGGGGTGGTTGGTGACACAGGAACAGTGACACCAGTGTAATTTGGGATGGGAGCTGTCGGGGTGGTTGGTGACACTGACACCAGTGTAATTTGGGATGGGAGCTGTCGGGGTGGTTGGTGACACAGGAACAGACACCAGTGTAATTTGGGATGGGAGCTGTCGGGGTGGTTGGTGACACTGACACCAGTGTAATTTGGGATGGGAGCTGTCGGGGTGGTTGGTGACACGGGAACAGTGACACCAGTGTAATTTGGGATGGGAGCTGTCGGGGTGGTTGGTGACACAGGAACAGTGACACCAGTGTAATTTGGGATGGGAGCTGTCGGGGTGGTTGGTGACACAGGAACACTGACACCCGTGTAATTTGGGATGGGAGCTGTCGGGGTGGTTGGTGACACGGGAACAGTGACACCAGTGTAATTTGGGATGGGAGCTGTCAGGGTGGTCGGTGACACTGACACCAGTGTAATTTGGGATGGGAGCTGTCAGGGTGGTTGGTGACACAGGAACAGTGACACCAGTGTAATTTGGGATGGGAGCTGTCGGGGTGGTTGATGACACTGACACCAGTGTAATTTGGGATGGGAGCTGTCGGGGTGGTTGGTGACACTGACACCAGTGTAATTTGGGATGGGAGCTGTCGGGGTGGTTGGTGACACAGGAACAGTGACACCAGTGTAATTTGGGATGGGAGCTGTCAGGGTGGTTGGTGACAGTGACACCAGTGTAATTTGGGATGGGAGCTGTCGGGGTGGTTGGTGACACTGACACCAGTGTAATTTGGGATGGGAGCTGTCGGGGTGGTTGGTGACACTGACACCAGTGTAATTTGGGATGGGAGCTGTCGGGGTGGTTGGTGACACAGGAACAGTGACACCAGTGTAATTTGGGATGGGAGCTGTCAGGGTGGTTGGTGACACAGGAACAGTGACACCAGTGTAATTTGGGATGGGAGCTGTCGGGGTGGTTGGTGACACAGGAACAGTGACACCAGTGTAATTTGGGATGGGAGCTGTCAGGGTGGTCGGTGACAGTGACACCAGTGTAATTTGGGATGGGAGCTGTCAGGGTGGTCGGTGACACTGACACCAGTGTAATTTGGGATGGGAGCTGTCAGGGTGGTCGGTGACACTGACACCAGTGTAATTTGGGATGGGAGCTGTCGGGGTGGTTGGTGACACTGACACCAGTGTAATTTGGGATGGGAGCTGTCGGGGTGGTTGGTGACACAGGAACAGTGACACCAGTGTAATTTGGGATGGGAGCTGTCGGGGTGGTTGGTGACACAGGAACAGTGACACCAGTGTAATTTGGGATGGGAGCTGTCGGGGTGGTTGGTGACACAGGAACAGTGACACCAGTGTAATTTGGGATGGGAGCTGTCGGGGTGGTTGGTGACACAGGAACAGTGACACCCGTGTAATTTGGGATGGGAGCTGTCGGGGTGGTTGGTGACACAGGAACAGTGACACCAGTGTAATTTGGGATGGGAGCTGTCGGGGTGGTTGGTGACACTGACACCAGTGTAATTTGGGATGGGAGCTGTCGGGGTGGTTGGTGACACAGGAACAGACACCAGTGTAATTTGGGATGGGAGCTGTCGGGGTGGTTGGTGACACTGACACCAGTGTAATTTGGGATGGGAGCTGTCGGGGTGGTTGGTGACACGGGAACAGTGACACCAGTGTAATTTGGGATGGGAGCTGTCGGGGTGGTTGGTGACACAGGAACAGTGACACCAGTGTAATTTGGGATGGGAGCTGTCAGGGTGGTCGGTGACACTGACACCAGTGTAATTTGGGATGGGAGCTGTCAGGGTGGTTGGTGACACAGGAACAGACACCAGTGTAATTTGGGATGGGAGCTGTCGGGGTGGTTGATGACACTGACACCAGTGTAATTTGGGATGGGAGCTGTCGGGGTGGTTGGTGACACTGACACCAGTGTAATTTGGGATGGGAGCTGTCAGGGTGGTCGGTGACACTGACACCAGTGTAATTTGGGATGGGAGCTGTCAGGGTGGTTGGTGACACAGGAACAGACACCAGTGTAATTTGGGATGGGAGCTGTCGGGGTGGTTGATGACACTGACACCAGTGTAATTTGGGATGGGAGCTGTCGGGGTGGTTGGTGACACTGACACCAGTGTAATTTGGGATGGGAGCTGTCGGGGTGGTTGGTGACACTGACACCAGTGTAATTTGGGATGGGAGCTGTCGGGGTGGTTGGTGACACAGGAACAGTGACACCAGTGTAATTTGGGATGGGAGCTGTCGGGGTGGTTGGTGACACTGACACCAGTGTAATTTGGGATGGGAGCTGTCGGGGTGGTTGGTGACACTGACACCAGTGTAATTTGGGATGGGAGCTGTCGGGGTGGTTGGTGACACAGGAACAGTGACACCAGTGTAATTTGGGATGGGAGCTGTCAGGGTGGTTGGTGACACAGGAACAGTGACACCAGTGTAATTTGGGATGGGAGCTGTCGGGGTGGTTGGTGACACAGGAACAGTGACACCAGTGTAATTTGGGATGGGAGATGTCAGGGTGGTTGGTGACACTGACACCAGTGTAATTTGGGATGGGAGCTGTCAGGGTGGTTGGTGACACAGGAACACTGACACCACCTTGGGGTCCCTCTGCTGCAGTTGGGCTGTTTGGGGCTGGAGTAGTGAACAGAAGCAGTAAATACCTGACACATTACAGAATTCCTGGCCTCAAGCAGTCAATCAGAGTGACCCCAGGACAGTGGCTCCTCTGGAAGGACCAGCACTGCCCTCCCCTCCCCTCCTGAGGGCTGAGCTCTCCTGGGGATGTTGGGGGCAGGATCCTTTCCTGGGGATGTTGGGGGCAGGACCCTTTCTGTGGAATGGGGACAGCAGAAGCTCCCCAGAGATGTTCCAGTGTCTCCTACATGCCTCTCAGGAGTCTGTGAATGGTGCCCCAGAGGGGCTGGGTTTGCTGCCCCTGGGAATGGTGCCCCAAGCAGGGCTGGCTCTGGCTCTGGAGGGAGGGCCTGGGACAGAAATGCGGGTGCCAGTGAAGTGGAAACTGTGCCTCTCCTTCCCCAGACACAGGCTCAGTGAGTTGTTGTGGTTAATTATTCACGCTGCTTGCCTGGGCAGGGGGAGGGAAGGGTGGGTTTGCTGTTGGAATATCCCTGCCCATGGCAGGGGTGGCATGGGATCAGCTTTAGGGTCCTTCCCAACCCAAACCATTCCAGACTCCCAGAGCCTGTGGAGCCTGTTCCCAGCGGGCAGGAGCACGCCTTGGGGTGCCAGCCGCCGTTCCCTGGAGCTGTTCTGTGCCTGTCCCGTGTCAGGGCTGGGAAGCGGCTCCTCAGCAGCAGCAGCAGGGCAGGCTGGCAGCCAGGCTCAGCCCAGAGCTGCTCCCTGCCCTCCCCAGGCCATCCTGCACTGAGCCCTGGCTGTGTCCACAGCTTTCCCCTGCACAGGCTGGGCAGGGAGAGGTGCTGGAGGATTTGGACCAGCTCCAAGCCTCGTGCATCAAAACAAAACCCCTCTGGCTGCTTATCAGCCCAGCGCTCCTCAAGTGCTGATTTAATAGAGGGAGAGGCTTTTCAATGGAGGTAAATACCTTGGAGAGCCTCTGAAGGCAGCTCCTGCCCGTGTCCCTGGGCTGTGCAGCTGCTCTGGCTGCAGGGGAAGGTGAACCTGCCCTGCCCCTCTGTGTGAGGGGCTTTCAGTCAGTTCAGTCTCGTTGTGTTGAACCTTTGGGCTGGATCTCTTCCTGCAGCTGCTGCTCCTCAGCTCTCCCCCCTATGTAGGTCACACTTGCACATTTTCTGCTTGAGCCGCTGTCTCGGAGCGCTTTCTCTTGGAAAAAAGAAAAACATCTCTGTGAGAGCAGGGCTGTGGCTGTGCTGTGGTGGCAGCAGTGATTCCCCTGGTTAATCCCACCAGGATGGGGTCACTGCTTGGGTGCTCTCAGCTGGGTGTTTTGGAGCTGGGGTGGGTTGTTCTTGTTCCTCTGCCAGCCCCCTCAGGTAATTATGGGATGAAAATGTTGCATCCTGTGTCAGGAAGGGGAAAAATGGGCAGCCAAAGCCCCACACAGAGGAACCTCTCAGCTTATGCACAACTTCAGCTTGAACTGCTTGGTTTTAACCCTTCAAGGTTTAACAGAGAGAAAAGCTCAGGACACTCCATGGCCCAGGGAGGAGGAGCTTCCCAGTGAGCGTTGCTGGGACATTTGGGGTTGATTTGGGTTGGAAGAGACCTTAAGGATCATCCAGTGCCACCCCTGCCATGGCAGGGACACCTCCCACTGTCCCAGCCTGCTCCAAGTGTCCACACTTTGCATTTATGAAGAAAAGGCACTTTATAAAGTAGATTTAGTTTCTGTTCAGTGGTGGTTTTAGCTCAGCTGGGGTTGATGTGCATATAAAATATCCTTGAATCTTCACGTCCCTGTGGGTTTGGCAGCCTTTCCCTGAAGGAATTCCTGCCCACTGCTGGAGTTTCACTGAAGCCACTCAGTGTGTAGCAAACTCTGATTCAGCTTCAGGTGTTTCAGGAGAGGGATTTTAATATTAATCACTTCATTAGTGAGAGAGGATCTCGCAGGCCTGTGGTGTTCAGGGATGGCCAAATTATTGAGGCTCCTGTCAGGTGGCAGCTCCCAGGCTGGGAGTTCCTCAGTTCCCACCTTTCCTGGGCCTCTCAAACACAGCTGTATTGTTATTGTTCCAGTTTTTATAGTTTTATTCCCTGATCAACCTTCATTTTGCCAGTGAATGACACCCCTCATAGCTGTGAATATCTCCTGCTACAAAGCCTCTGAGTGTTTGGGAGCTTGGAACTGGATGATTTCCCCAATATCCCATTCCTCTGGCAGTGAGGAGCCATTCCCTGGGTCCTGTCCCATGTCCCAAGTCCCTCTCCAGCTCTCCTGGAGCCCTTTTGGCTCTCAGTGCTTCCCCCTTTGCCTGGGGTTAGGGGGCAGGAGCTGCTCCCATCCCCGTCTCATTGAAACCCTGTCCCTCCATGCAAGTGTGATGAAGGAAATGGAATTGGATTGTGCCAAACCACATCTCAAATGAGATTTTAAAACATGGGAAACCTGTTCCTTCCCTGGAGCAGGGAGGTCTCCCACAGAGCTGGTTTGTGAGGAGGAGCCTTGAATCCTCCCTCACAGCAAAGCAGGGAATCATGGTAGGGATTCCTGTGCAGCCCAGTTTTAACTGGATGATTTCAGTTCCCCCACCAAATTTATCCATGAGGAGGCTCCATGGCTGCTCCTTTCCCTCAAGGCTCTTCCTCTGATGCCTTGTGACTCCATTTGCTTCCCAAAACCTGTATTCCATGGATGCCCTTCCTGCCTGCAGTGGGTTTGCCTGTGCTGTGTCCCACTTGTCCCTTGTGGAGAGCTTCCAGGTGCCCCTGGCCCTGCTGGGGGTGTCTGGGGCTCAGAAGGCATTTCCTGGGGCTCAGAAGGGATTTCCTGGGGTGTGCTGGGGGTCAGAGGGTGTTTCCTGGGATATGTGCTAGGGGGGTGAGAATGCATTTCCTGGGGGTTTCCTAGGGGTTCAGAAGGCATTTCCTGGGGTGTGCTGGGGGGAGTGAGAAGGTGTTTCCTGGGATGTGCTGGAGGTGAGAAGGGAATTGCCCCTTGGATAGGCTGGGGTGTCTCCATGCCTGGGCTCTCCTGCCGTTCCCCGGGGTGTGGGCACCCCTGGAGCCGCCCGTGCCCCCGGGCAGTGCCACGCTGGGGGCACAGCGCTGCCGCCCGTCGCTGCCCGGCCCCTCACGGTGTGTGTCCCTCCCTGCAGGCCAGCTGCCCGGCTCCCTGCTGCCGGGCCAGCCCCTGCCGGGCCGCATGATCCCTGCCAGCATCCACGGCGGCGCCGGGGCCGCCCCGCCCGGCATGGCCCCGATGGCCGGCAACCTGCTGGGGCCCAGAGTGCCGCTGGCCGCCCCCAACGGAATGTGTAAGTGCAGCCTGACACAGGGGTGGGTAATCCTGGGGTCCCCTGTCCCCCAAACCCCCTGGCTGCCCCCAATGGAATGTGTAAGTGCAGCCTGACACAGGGATGGGTAATCCTGGTAACCCTGGGGTCCCCTGTCCCCAAACCCCCTGGCTGCCCCCAACGGAATGTGTAAGTGCACACTGACACAGGGATGGGTAATCCTGCTAATCCTGGGGTCCCCTGCCCTCCAAACCCCCTGGCCGCCCCCAACGGAATGTGTAAGTGCAGCTTACAAAGAGATGGATAATCCTGGGGTCCCCCGTCCCCCAAACCCCCTGGCTGCCCCAAATGGAATGTGTAAGTGCAGCCTGAAAGGGGTAATCCTGATAGTCCTGGGCTCCCCTGCCCTGCAAACCCCTGCTTCCTACAGGGATAGTGGGATCTGTGTAAGTGCACCCTTCCAGGGATGGTCCTGGGCTCCCCTGCCCTACAAACCCCTGCTCCCTGTGGGAATAATGGGATCTGAGCCTGCTGGGATAATCCTGGGCTCCCCTGCCCTACAAACCCCTGCTCCCTGTGGGAATAGCAGGATCTGAGCACACTGGGATGGTCCATCCTGGGCTCCCCTGCTCTCCAAACCCCTGCTCCCTGCGGGAATAGCAGGATCTGAGCACGCTGCCAGCCCCAGAGTGCTGCCAGGGATGTGCTGGAAGCTTTAAGTGCTCCTCAGCCCTCTGGGCATCCCAACGCATCCCATTGTTCTTTATTTTATTTATAACATCCCTTATTTTATTTATAACCATACAGAGGCTTGGTGGTGATGATCAAAAGCCTCTCCTGACTAAGTGAAGGGCCAGGAATTAACTGTAATTTCTAAATAGTGGAGGTCAGAGTAGGATCCAGTTCAATAATTCCATACTGAAAACTTGGCACCCTGGAACTGGAGCATGGAAATCATGATTAGGAGGAAGGAGAGGATAAACCATGTAAAGAACATTCCCAGTATAAAATCTGTACCTCCAGAAATGAAGCTGATTTATGGCAGCCAAAAAAGCAGCTGGATCAGGAGCCATGGTGTGGGAGTTGCTTGAATGAGTGTGAGAGTGTGGCCAAGCCCAGAAGGCAGCAGACAAGCTGGCACAGGGAGGGATGACTGGGGAATTCTCCATCAGGAATTCCTCAATAAATTTGCCATTATTAATTGCAGCCTGGCCCAGCTCAGTGCTGCTCAGGAATCCTCACCCCAAAATGCTCAGTGTGGCTCTCACCAGACGAGCAGGAACTGCCATCACTTGTAGCACCTCTCCCAAAAAATAATTGGGAAAAGCCCTTTAGGTTTTGGCTTGAGCAGCAGGAGCTGCTGTGAGCTGTGACTCAGGGCGTTCCCAGCCCCAGCAGGAGAGCTCTGTGCTATTTCTGCTTGGGCACTGCTCCTGTTCTCTGCTCCCCAGCCCTCCTTTTCCCTGCTTTTCCCCGGGCCTTTACCACTGGGAATGTCTTGTGTCAGGTTGTGTTCCTGTTTGCTCTCTTCCCTTCCCTTCATTTCTCCTTTTTTCCTCCCCTGCTGCACAAGTCAGTCATGTTCCATTAGCATCTCCTCTCTGGGCACGAGGCTGGCCCTTTGTACCCTCCTTCCTTCCTTCCTCCTCTCCTCTCTGCATCCATGGATCGCTCTGCTTTAACCTACATCCATCCTTCAGAGGGAGGAGCAGCCTCTGTTGGTACCACAGCCATTGTTCCATCTGTGTTAAACAGAGCAGAGCTGCAATTTGGGCTTGGGCACAGAGCTGGCAGGTGAGGGGTGCCAACTCCAGCTCTGCAGGTTACTTGGCATGGCTTTGCCAGTGCTGGGCTGCATCCCCAGCATCTTGTCCATAAAATATGGGAGTTTTTGCTCTTTCACCGAGTCCATGCGGTGCTGGGTGGTGGAGAAGCAAACTAAAGGTGCAGCAGAGCTTCAGGAGCCATTCCTGGGTCCTGGCTGCAGGAATTGCCCTCAGACAGACTGTCCTGTGACCTGGCGACACGGGTGTTGTGTCCCTTTGTGACAGTGTTCATAGGGGGCCGAGGATGAGGGAAGAGACCAGGATCTGACTCCGTGTTTCAGAAGGCTGATTTATTATTTTAGGATATATATTACATTAAAACTGTACTAAAAGAATAGAAGAAAGGATTTCCTCAGAAGGCTAGCTAAGAGTAGAATAGCAAAGAATGATAAAGATTTGTGGCTCAGGCTCTCTGTCTGAGCCAGCTGACTGTGATTGGGCATTAATTAGAAACAACCACATGAGCCCAATCCCAGATGCACCTGTTGCATTCCACAGCAGCAGATAACCATTGTTCACATTTTGTTCCTGAGGCCTCACAGCTTCTCAGGAGATAAAAATCCTAAGGAAAGGATTTTTCATAAAAGATGTCTGCGACATCCCTTCTCTGCGTCCAGCCCCTCCTGTTGTCCCCCCTCACTGCTTTTCCACCATCCCCTTGTGTCCTTCCGTGTCCCTGACTGTCCCCCTCATCCCTCACCGTCCCATTGTGTCCCCCTGAGTCCCCTCCTGTCCCTGACTGTCCCGTTGTGTCCCGCAGACCCCGGCCTGGCACAGCGCCCCTCCTGTCCCTCCCTGTCCCCGTTGTGTCCCCTCCGTCCCTGACTGTCCCGTTGTGTCCCTCCTGTCCCGTTGTGTCCCTCCATGTCCCGTTGTGTCCCTCCTGTCCCTGACTGTCCCGTTGTGTCCCCTCCATCCCTGACTGTCCTGTTGTGTCCCTCCATGTCCCGTTGTGTCCCTCCATGTCCCGTTGTGTCCCCCCCGTCCCTGACTGTCCCGTTGTGTCCCTCCATGTCCCGTTGTATCCCCCCCGTCCCTGACTGTCCCGTTGTGTCCCTCCATGTCCCGTTGTGTCCCCCCCGTCCCTGACTGTCCCGTTGTGTCCCTCCTGTCCCGTTGTGTCCCTCCATGTCCCGTTGTGTCCCCCCCGTCCCTGACTGTCCCGTTGTGTCCCTCCATGTCCCGTTGTGTCCCCCCCGTCCCTGACTGTCCTGTTGTGTCCCTCCATGTCCCGTTGTGTCCCCCCCGTCCCTGACTGTCCCGTTGTCCCCGCAGACCCCGGCCCGGCGCCGCCGCCCCCCGCCGAAGGAGTGACGCCGCCCCCGGCCGGGGCCCCGCCGGCCTCAGCCGCCCCCTAAGGCGGCCCCGAGGAGGAGAAGGAGCTTCCCGAGCAGCGGAGTGGTGACCAAAAGAGAATTCCTCAGTTCCCTGCTGTCCCCGGGGCGGGGTCCCCTCCCCTCCCGGCCGTGGGCACGGCTGGCACGGTTGGTGGCACGGTTGGTGGCACGGTTGGTGTCCCCTGTCCCCTGCAGCCCCCAGGGCTCGGTGTCCCCGGGGAAAGCTGCAGGCAGGGGTGCCAGGAGTGCCTCCGCCTTGCTGCTGGCCTTGCAGAGCTCCACGCTGGTTTCCTTCCTCTTGGTGCTTTGGGCTCCTCCTTTGGGGCGGAACAATGCCGGGTTTAGGGCAGGAGCTGAGCTTTGGGACGTGCCCACCGCGGGGGATTGGGCGTTCCGGGGTCTCTGGGCTGAGCAAAGCACCCAGAGGAGAGGCCAAACCAGAGCTGGGGGCAGAGCAGGGGAGGCACAGCCCTGCAGCCACGCCTGCAGGGATTCCTGGTGGCTGCAGCCTCTAACTTATTACAGGAAATATTGATCCGTGGCAGTGAAACCAGGAGTGAATCAATCAGAATAAAACCACTCAATGGTAGGAGTTCTCTTGCTCCAGTTTGTACCTTCCCTTTGCCTTTGGAGGTGGTAGTTGGACCTTCCCTGAGTAGTTTGGTGCAGTAGCCAACTGAGGAATAACCCCCCCGTTTTTAGTCCCTCTTTTTGGAGCATATACTTTGTACTTTTTAAAATGAAGAAAACAAACAAAACAAAAAAAAAATTATTAAAGTAGGTAGCGAAGAAGTGCTAGAATTTGGGATTGGGTTGGGATGGCTGGGATGGGAATGGCAGAACTACCTCTGGACGGCCGGGGCAGCAGCTGGGACAGCTCCTGTCACCCCAGGGCAGCTGCAGGGTGGGAGGGGAGCAGCTGCAGCACATCTGGCACATCTGGCACATCCGGGAGCCCTCCAGAGCTGCTGCTGCTCCTCCAGGCTGCCAAAACTTGGGAAAAATCCTGCAAAAAGTCCTTTTCTGCCCGTGGTTCGGGTTCTCTGCCCTCTCCCAGCCCAGGAGCGTTTGGGGTTTCCCTGCTGAGGGTCTGGACGCTGCTCCTTGACCTCAGGGGTGGCTTTTGTCCAGGTTGGGCTGGAGAGAGGCTCCCAAAACCTCTGCAACCTCCAGAGCTGCTTCCAGCATTTAAAACTTCAGGCTTTGCCAGGTCTTCCAGCCCAGGGGCCTTCCCATTCCCCTTCCCAAGGCTTCCTTCCCCTCCAGGCTCTTTGGGGTGAGCGTGGGATTTCTGGTGCAGCCCTTAGTCCAGTTTAGAGTAACCTCAGGTTGTTTTTAGCGTGAGCAGTTCCCAGGATCCAGGTGGAGACTATTTTTTACTGTCCTAGTGCTGATCCTGCCGAGGACCCGGGTCCTGGACTCTGTTTTGTTTCTGTATAAATAATCCCTGTGCCCACTTTTTCACCTGATCTCTGTATAGGGCCGGTTTGATTCCTGCAGCAGCCACCCAATTTTGTGAAATAAAAGGAAAAAAAAGCGGTTTTTGTACAAAGCCTGTGGAGTTTGTGGAGTCTCCTTTGCCTTTGTGTGTGGGAAGAGCTGGGAATTGTTGCTGTGTGGGAACTGGGCTGTGTTGGGGCTGGGTGTGAGCTCCGGAGGAGCAAACACAAACCCTGAGCGTGGGGGAGGCCTGGAAGCCACAGGGGAGCACAAACAGACCCTTCCCACACTGGGGATGTGCTGGGGGTGCAGAGCGGTGTCCTGGGCCCAGACATGCCATGAAAGGCACATTCCCCTTGGACAGGCTGGGGGGGCTCCAGGGCTGGGCTCTCCTGCTGAACGTCCTCTTGTCAGGCTCCTTGGAGCTGCTCCTGCTCGGGGCAGGAAGGGAAGGGAAGGGAAGGAGCTCTTGGATCTCTGCATCCCAGCAAGGCTTGTCCCAGCAATGGTCACTTCTCCTCCTCAGCCTGAAGATCGTTTACCTGAGGGATGCACAGAAACTGGTAAATCATAAATGGCAGGTTTGGAAGTTTTCTTTTTACAGACTTCAAATATTCATGGTCAGAGCGGTGGCTGGGCTGGGCAGAGCTGGAGTGAGGCAGAGAAGGATGGATGGGCTTTGGGATCCATTGGATGGGCTTTGGGGGGCTTTGGGGTCCCATGGGTGGGCTTTGGGATCCCATGGGTGGGCTTTGGGAGGTTTTGGGATCCATTGGATGGGCTTTGGGATCCCATGGGTGGGCCTTGGGGTCCCATGGATGGGCTTTGGGGTCCCATGGATGGGCCTTGGGGTCCCATGGGTGGGCTTTGGGATCCCATGGGTGGGCTTTGGGGTCCAGTTAGGGGATGCTGGTGGGTGAAGGAGTGGCCAGAGACCCCCTGTGCCTGGGCTGATCCTCAGTGTGGGCAGCAAGAAATGGGGATTCTGCCCCTCAGGTGAGACCCCAGAGCAGGGCTGCCCCAGATCCACCAGCACAGGGAGCTGGAGCCAGGCTGGAGAGCTGGGAATGTTCATCTGGAGAGGAGCAGCTCCAGGGAGAGCTCAGAGCCCCTGGCAGGGCCTGGAGGGGCTCCAGGAGAGCTGGAGAGGGACTGGGGACAAGGATGGAGGGACAGGACACAGGGAATGGCTCCCACTGCCAGAGGGCAGGGATGGATGGGAGATTGGGAATTGGGAATTCCTGGCTGGGATGGAATTCCCAGAGCAGCTGTGGCTGCCCCTGGATCCCTGGCAGTGCCCAAGGCCAGGCTGGATCACCCTGGGACAGTGGAGGTGTCCCTGCCATGGCAGGGGTGGCACTGGGTGGGCTCTGAGGTCCCTCCAACCCCACCCAAACCATCCTGGGGTGTTGGATCCCCGCAGCTGGGCTGGCACAGGGTGGGGCCGGGGCTGCTGCTGGAGCAGGGGGTGGATGAGGGGTGAGTTTGTGGCTGTTCTCAGTTCCTGGTGCAGGCACAGCGCTGGAAGGGGGGTTCACAGGGCTCGGAGCGGGCTGAGTGTCTGCTCCAAAGCCTCCCTTGGGGACACGTCAGTCCCAGATCCCTTAGACAAAGGGAATTACCTGCTCAGGGTGAGCTCCTCTCCCTGCTCCAGAACATTCCCGGTCCCTCCTGCCGGGAGGGGTTTGGATTTTCATCCCGTAATCGGATCCCGTGGGCAGGGGAGCGGTGATCTGAGCCGGGATTGTTCTCTGCACCACCGAGGAGCAGGAGCCGGCGCTGGCACAGCCTCCGTCCATGCCAGAGACGCCCTCAACCTCCCCGTCCTGCCCCGGGTACCAGCTCCACCCTGTCTGCCTGAAAAGCTGCGGTTTTGTCCTTTTCGGGCCGATTTAAAGCCAAAACGCACCTTGGGGCTCGTGGAGAGTTTGAGGTGGCAGAGTGCACGCTGTCCCCTCGCTGCTGTTCCATCCCTGTGCCTCTGGCACAGGAAACCTCCACAGGGAGGATTGGAGGCTGGCAGCTCCTCCTCTCCCCCCAGGTTTGCCAGGAACCAGTGCAGGGCTGGCCCCGGTGCCCACCTGGATAATGCCCCAGATCCCAGCAGGAGCAGCAGCCTCAGACAGGGCTGATGGTGGCTCTGGGTGACCTGCCCAGGGCTGGGCAGTGCCAGGGCCGTGCCAGGGCCATCCCTGCCCACTCACTGTCCCCCTTTGTCCGCACCAGCTCCCACCCAGCTGCCTGTGCTGGGAATTGCCCCTTCCCCAGGAACCCCAGGATGCTGCTGGGACCACAGGGACCCTTCCAGCAGCACCTGGACAAACTGACGGCTCGTCGTTGGGAATTTTCCCCCCAAATCTCTCATTTTCTGTCTTTTTAAGTTGCAGCCTGATAAGAACAACCTGGTGTCCATCAGAGCCAGCAGCCCTCCGGGTTTGTTCCCAGGATTCCAGCCCTGGGATGGAGCTGGTGCTCCCCACGTGCCAGGACCAAGGATGCCCAGCCAGCTCCGTGTCACCGAGCCCACAGAGAGCTGGGGCCACCTCCAGGCCCAGCATCAGCCCAGAGGGACCTGGGGGACATCTCCTGGCTGGGCTGTGCTCCAGCTGCTGCTGGGGAGCCTCCAGACCCCCGGGATCCATTCCCCGAATTCCCCAGGATGCTGTGGTGCCCTGGGCGCTGCCCCCGGGGGATGCTCCGGGTGCCCTCGGCGCCCTGCAGGTCCGGCTCTCTCTGCTGTTCCTGTTTTGGGCTCCCTCCTGCACAGGTTCAACAGCCCTGGGAGGGACGGGCTCGTGTTCACCCTCCGGGCTCAGCCCAGCCCTCCCCGAGCCTTTCCCTCCATCCCGGGATGAGGCTGAGTCTGTCCCGAGCCTTTCCCTCCATCCCGGGATGAGGCTGAGTCTGTCCCGAGCCTTTCCCTCCATCCCGGAGGAAGTTTTGTCTCCATTGCTCAGCCCGACAGTGAGAGAGCCGCCCTGGCTCAGCCGCGTTAATGAGAGCGAAGCCTCGGAGGTGAAAACCTCTCTGAAGGGCCTTTGGTGCCCTCTTGGCAAAATCACAAGAACTAAAGCGGCTCCTCCAGGCGGGAGGAGGAAGGCGTGGGAGCAGTGCTGGCACTCAGGGTGGCTGATCCTGCTCGGGGACAGCTTCATGTGTCACCTGGGCACGCTGCAGCTGCACAGACACAGCAGCTGGCACAGCTGGGATGTGGCCTTGGATGCACAGCTCCATCCCTGGGATGTGGCCTTGGATGCAGGGCTCCATCCCTGGGATGCACAGCTCCATCCCTGGGGTGTACAGCTCCATCTTGGATGTACAGCTCCACTCTGGGGTGTACAGCTCCATCCTGGGATGCACAGCTCCATCCTGGGATGTACAGCTCCATCCTGGTATGCACAGCTCCATTCCTGGATGTACAGCTCCATTCCTGGATGCACAGCTCCATCCCTGGGATGCACAGCTCCATCTTGGATGTACAGCTCCACTCTGGGGTGTACAGCTCCATCCTGGGATGTACAGCTCCACTCTGGGGTGTACAGCTCCATCCTGGGATGCACAGCTCCATCCCTGGATGTACAGCTCCATCCTTGGGATGTACAGCTCCATCCTGGTATGCACAGCTCCATCCCTGGTATGCACAGCTCCATCCTTGGGTTTTTCTGCTGCATCCTTGGGATGCACAGCTCCATCCCTGGATTCAGCTCCCTGCCAGCTCCTCTCCCCAAAGCTCACCCTC